AAAAACGATACCATTTTAAACTTGATCAATTCCTCAAGTAAATGTTGGCTGCATAAAATATAAATTGAAGTTAGACATACGCATCATTTATATTTAAAAATGTATTAATTTTCAATTTTTGAGTATAAAACACGAACTATGCAGAGTGCGTTTTTATCCGAGAAGTAAAATTCGATGTTCTAAAAAAAGGGGCATGTCGTTGTTTCGATAGTAAATGATAAGTAACTTTATATATTAAATATGAAACACACATATATTTTTAAAAATTCACTTTATGGAAGTAAATATATTATGCATCTCGTAATTTATAAACAGAAAGAACATTCTGATTAACAATCTTTTCAATGTTTAGAAAGCCTTTAATTCTGCATAACTACTCCTACCCCTATCCCCATACACCAACACTTAAACTTATATGTATAGAGCAGCCCGGTCCTCCGGGCTGCAATAAATTTTGCAATCAAACTCCGAAACGGGTGCACAATAGTTCTTGCTTACTCCTCTAATACTACACTACATACAAGATTTCACTCGGATAGCAAGTATCGTACATAAAATTAAAACTCTACTTCAATTTTCCGAAAACAGCCATGAAATAGCATCAACGTGAGTATGGTGGCGTTTCCGGTTGACGGATCTAAGCTACTGGCAAATTTTAATGAAACTGACAACAAAAAATAATCGATTATTTATTTCATAAAATATCATCACTGAATTATTCAATCAAAACTTGATTTAAATGATATAAAACAAATAAGCTGTGATAACCGACTTAAAGGCAAAAAATGCAAATTATTTTCGTCAATTACCGATCTCAATATTGGCGGAAGCTTCTAGAACATCATGTCCCTTTTGCTACATTGTTTTAATCAATGAATAATTGTAAATTATGTAATTAACGAGTTATTTGATTAAATTGTTTGACAACAAATGATGTTAGATAAATTAAAATAAAATAAAAACAATAGTTTGGAAAAACGAGCAAAATTTGCTTGGAAATTATTAGAAACATATTGTTGCCGGGAAAGCCACTAATATTTATTAATATAAGTAGACAAATGGCGTTAAAGCATTATATTTCCATTTCTAAGTTCTTTCCTCTGTTATAACTCTTTTACAGTTAGCGGAGTTGATTTCTTGATAATTCTACCGGAATGTAAATTAGGCAGGTTGATAGGTCAGGAGCTAAGGAGTCCTAATGTGTATACAAATCTCGTGCGCATCTGTCTTACGTCGGACGCTAAGGAGGCCAAATATGCATGTAAATCTCGTGCAGCTGCCTTTGTGATTGATGTAAGTGGGCGAGGACTATTGAAATTGGCATGGGAGTCCTCGTGAAATTTAAATCTATGTCGACATTTTTAAAATCTAAATCTACAATTTTATTTCACATTGAGATGGAAATATACTGACATTCAAAAGAAACGCAACACCCTCATTTAAGGGGGGAAATTATATATGGGTTGTATCTATGTACCAAAAAAGTTAGGAAATCTTTAACTTTGCCAAATCAGTTATTTAACGATTGAATGATTTTCATTCTATTACCGGAAGTTGCTTTTTAGCCCCCTTAACAGAAATCAAAATTGCATTTTTAATAAAATTTTAACAATATTTTGGGTTTCAAAGGTTTTATAGCTGGTAATCATAAGTATTGTACTAAAATCCCGGGAAAAATCCTTCTTTCTTTTCTGGATATGATGCCTATATTTCCTCAAAATGGCTGATAGCAAAAAGGGGGGGGTGTTTTAAGAGTTATGTGTTACTTTCTAAGGTTTAATGATAACATTGAAAATGAATATATATAGGTAAAAAGTAAATTAACAAAAAATGATGCTTCATTTAAATGTTAAATGATATTTTTAGACCTTAGAAAGTAACAAATAAATCTTAAGGTAGGATTCTTCTCTGGTTTCTGACTAGATGAAAAGTTCAAAGTACATGTGCTTATATGTCATATATTTGGGTGTAAGAGATTTAAAAGACCAATTTTTCTTTCCTCATCACAATAGTACAACTTTAAATTGGACTTTTACGAGAAGCACTTACTTTTACGGTTGACTGTTTACTTGGACAATTAAACATTCACATCTACGGAGGTACAGAATTGATAATGGAAAAGAAAACCTTTCTGGTGGTCATGGTAATGGTGTTAGGGGCATTTGTATGTGAAGGCCTGGATTCGAGGGTAGGATGGTTGTCGTTTTCTTCAAAGACAATTAATCTGCACTTTGAAATAGCCCGTTATTTTCGTTGAATTAAATGTTGAGCTAAATTATTATATCGTAAAAGAGCTTCCGTACACTATCCTAGTGTGAGAGTATTTCGTCAACTGTAAAAGTCAGAGCTTCTCGTAAAAGTCCATTAGAAATGATAAACCTCGTTTGAAAACTAGCAGGGACTATATTTTGGTGGAATGGTGGCGTATGAAAATATCGTCTTTTCTGTCTCTCAAAGTTATAATTGAACAATGATTTTAATTATAATTTTTACACAATCGAAGGCTTGAAGAAATTTTAAAATGTAAGATTAATTAATAATTAGGGACTAAAGTTCCTAAATATATCAAATAAATATGATTTTTCAAACGAACTTAAACTATGTAAGCTTTTAAAAGCTTCCTATTTAAGTACAGATTTGAGCAAAAGATCCGTAAAAAGTATTTTTTTTCTCTTAGTAGACGATCAAAACTTTTTTGGGCATCATTTTGTATCTTTATGTGACGACTTCACCATATGTGAAAATGAGAAAATTTTAAATATAGGAAGCATATAGAAATAACTAATACAATACATATCCTAAAAAATAAAAAAAAAGTTCAGAAAATTCGGATTAGCCAATATCCATGTTAGTTATTAAATTATTTATGTCAATTTGGTAGTATCATGTTATAGGTCCTTTCTGGTAATATCTTTTTATGCAAAAAGAAAAACGTTCATGACAATCTTTTGAAATGGAAATTACGATCGCATAAGTTGCAACAGTATTTTTTTTTATTATAAATGTCCGGGAAAGAAGTAATGACCTTGACCTGACCTTGCTTCTAACATAAAACGGTCAAATATAATCTCAGTGATACCATCACTTAGTGATATTGTCTTCTTCATTCTGTGAAAATTTCATTAATTTTTAAATACAAGAAATATGAGAAGAATCCTACCTTAAAACATCCCCCTTCCGACCGTTCAATTAAAACATGCTAGTCCATCATATGCAACAAATGCAGCCCGATTTCTACCATGCATTAGGTTTATTTATGTCTTAATCTGAGCGAAACTAATAGTCTTGGGCAATTTTGAATGCATGTTTTTCAGATACTGCGGTCGAACTTGGCGTAGTGTAGTAGCTCTTGGACTTCCGGTCAAGAAACACGTGAGCCTGATGAGTCGTTATATAGTGTATATTTGCATCTGCACACTCCTTTTTCTTTGTTTTGAGAATTTCCAGCATAAGCAATGAAAATGCTTCCTATCAGTCATTTTGAGGAAATAGAGGCATCACATCCGGAAATCAAAGAAGTATTTTTCCCCGGATTTTAGTACAATACTTAGGATAAACAACAACAAAACCTTGAAAACCCAAAATACTGTTAAAAATTTTATTAAAAATGCAAAATTTTGAATTGTGTTAAGAGGGCGAAAAAGCAACTTCCGGTAAAGAAAAGAAAATCAATCAACCGTTAAATAACTGATTTGGCAAAGTAAAAGATTCCTAACTTTATTGGTACATAGTCATAACCTGAATATAATTTTCGCCCTTAAATTTGGGTGCTGCGTTTCTATTGAATGTGAGTATATAAGGAATGAATGTCTAGTTAGTAAAGTATGCTAGAGAAATCAACGATAGTGGGAAACATGGGATAACTTATGCATAACGGCCTTCGCCCGTTATGCAAATTAGCCCATGTTTCCCACTATCGTTGATGCTCTAGCACACAATACTAAATAGGCAGTCATTCCTTAAGCATAATTTAAGTATCCTATACAGACACATGGCAAAAGTTTAGTTTTACACAGGTACATGGGTTTTGTTTTATGAATATGTACATGTATGTACCTTATTGCTATGTAAAAAGAAACTTTTTAGTTATCGATAAGTGTACATTTATAATTATAAATTAAACCATGACCCAAGTACATGTACCTGTGAAATTGAGAATTTTTACCCCACAACTCCCCAAACCCCCCAAAAATCAATTTAAATTGTAAATTGTATATATTCGCTGCCTTTATCCTTCATGAAAATGAAATGAGAATATCTGAAGTGCAATATCCATAAAAATGTATGTGGTTTCACATGAACGTCAAATAAATTTTTATTTTTCAAGTTTTCACAAAACGTGGGTGGGGATGTGACGTACATTTAATTCATGCGGGATTTTGAACAAAGTATTTCTTCCCTCTATAAGTCTGTCAGTAAAATCTACAATTTACAACTAAAATACAGTGTATACTGTATTTAGTTTTCTGTTTTAAATGTTAACTTTATATAATTATATAAAAATTCAATTTCCTGCGCTTGCGCGGGTGTTAATTTAGTTGAAATAAATTACAGGAGGAGTAGCGTTTAAAAGGAATTTCTAAGAAAATTCTATTTTTAGTAACCACGGCAACACCGTCCATCATGTTAACATGTCTTCTGTTTGTCTGTTTGTTTGCAAAACTTTTACCTTGCCCATATCTTTGAGTGACTGGAGCTCTCAGATTTCACAGGTGTATTCCTTGTGACAAGACCTTTCTGTGGGTACCACCAAATTTGACTTCTTAGCTTGATCATTGACTTTGACCCGAGTTTATCAAAACTCTAACCTTGGTCATAACTTTTGAACAGTTATTACAAGACCTTTTATATTTCATTTATTTCTTGTAACAGGAAATTCTTATACCAACAATTTTGACCTTTTCACCTTGACCTCTGAATTTGACTTGCATTTGAGAAATTTCAACACTCGCCTTAAACTGCCGTACTGGAGCATCCGTGTTTCACAAACTCATCTTGTCTTTTTCAGAAACCATGGTCAGATATAGTTTTATATTCAAACAACAGTCATCATGGGCCTTACTTTTCTTTATTTTTGCACCAGTAAGTTTATATCGTATATTTATGATTGTAAAGTTTCATTTTTCCCAATACATGCAACGAGAACAAGGAGTCACAAATTATTAAAAGCATTTAGTTCGCAAAGGTTATAGAAACTATTGATTTTGATTTTTTTTTTATTTTGGTTGAGATTTTCATGTTTATAGGGAAACTTAAATGCTAAGAGGTAAAGAAATAGATAGAAAAAAATAGATCCGTTATTTTTGCAAAACATCGATTATGAGGATCCTGAGAAAAAGACCCGGGTTACATGTGTGTACCAAAATTTTCTTCATGCAATTATTTTCAGATTTTTAATTCGATTTCTGTTTTTAGATTGAATCTAACTCAATCATTTGTGAACACTCTATCAGCACGATTGTATTCGTTGATGACTGTCCGCGATCATTGAAAGAATGGACGAAAGCATCGGGCAGAAAACGGTGCCACAACATTCCTCAAAACTGTACGTCTCCAGATCAGTTCCAGTATCACTGTCTTCTGGATCCAAATAACCAACGACTGTTTGAAATATGTGCTACAAGACGAATAATGACAGGTTTGAATTAAATTGATAGGAGTAAGCTTAATGGATAACAGTCTTTCAAATATAGAAGAATGAATTATCTGCTTTACGCGGCGCAGTTAATGCTACAAAAAGAAAACCTTACTTTAGCGAGAAATATGACATTATAGAAAGATTAAATTGCCGAGATGTGGCCATTTTTGAAAAATGGACTGTATTTGTTATACAAAAAAAAATAACGTGCATGGTAAGAAATATAAAAGTCGGAAAAATCTTTTAGCTTATGTAACAGAACGCTAAAGAGCATAACATGTGACCGCCGTGACGTGATTCGCGCATGGGCAGGACGGTTGCAGATATGCCTTAAAATCGTAGAGGGCTACTTAAAATAATTTTCAACACTAAACATGCTGAAACACTACGATCATTTCCTATAATGGGAATTATTCAATTAGTTCGCATACTTTTTAATTACCCCTTGTGTATGCATAATTTGCGAAAATAAACATTGGAAGTGCAACAAACTTCATCAAAATTTACTATTACTCTCTGTGTTTTAGCTACGTATACATGTATTAGTAAAAAATCTCACATTCGTGCTTATGTACGACTTACGATATCCATTTTTGTTCTCAGACCCCATATATTTCGGTTATTGTCTAGATCAGTTTACCTTACATTTTATCAAGGAACCCAATATTTTTTCATCATATGATTGCATCGATTGGACTCACAGTGTATCTGAGCAGTGAAAAGTTTGGCAATCCTTAAGGCGGATTTGTAATAAAACACTTTTTACGATTGTTTTGCTGTACGTTGTTTAACGTCCCTCGCGAGACGAGAATTCTTCACTGATATGGAGACGCCCACACTTGCGGTGAAGAGTTGCAAGTTTTGACCTATATTGAGGGATTTTTTTCGTGCCATCACCTAATGCGAAAGGACCTCGGTTTTAATACGGTCTCATCCGAATGACCGGTCTCCACGTCCCACAGTGTGATTCGAACCCGCGACATACGGATCAACTCCTTACACCGCAAATGTAGATCAAGACGTTCTTACCACTGCACCACGTGGGCCACCATTTTACGGGAAATGCCTTACAAAGTACGCAGAAAAACGAGCTGAAATCAGTGTCGATGTTCGCATGGCTAGCATCACAAAGTGTGCTGTTATCAGAATTATTTTATGTACGACCTATCTTATTTTGTGGAACTCTTTTGTGTTATTGTTTTCCTGTATTTCGCGGGTTTTCAACCTGCTTCTGTCCACCTGTTTTACCATATTTTCATTATTTTCATTGATCCTGGTCAGCTCAAAATGTAAGTTTATTGATGTAAATTGTTTATCTAACAAAGATGTTATTTGCAAGATTTGTTTTTATTCGAGAAATATGAGTTTAATTGTACACAGTTTTCTATACATGTGACTCGATCTATGGCGGCCATTTTGAACCTAATTTTGATTGATGTGTGTATATTGATAATCGGTAATTGTAATCATTTAAACCTAGTCTAAATTCTTTAAACTTATTGTACAACAGAAATAGGTTGAAATAGTTTCCCTTTGTATATCTTCATGCGAATTTGAGATCAGTTCATATGTGCTATGTTTGCATGTTCATGCATTCAGTCATTGTGTGTACATCAAGTTTTCTTGTATTTTGTAGCTTTTTACCACATCGTCTTTACAAATCACCAAATCATCAAATCATCGTATCATATGTCATCCACATCTGCTTCATCTTCAATAAATGATCAGAAATTTATGACTTTGGTGTACATTGGTTCGCTATACTGTTGATCCAACAGTACAGTAAAAAGATTTACATGACCCAGGGATCTTCACAACACAGTCATCATGGCAGATAAACAGGAAGAATCAGAGAAGCGTTTACATGTTCCAACGGAGAAGGGTTTAGCGGTATTCGAAGCTAAGTGTGTTGATTATAAGAAACGTATCGACAAGTTATGGAGCACAGTTGAAGACATTATTCTGAGTATACAAGACAGTGACAAAACCATAAAAACATTACGCAAATTTGATGCTGATATTCGTGCAGCCTTTGAACCATATCTCAGTTATGCTGATGAGTACAGAGATTTCCTCATACGTACAAACAGTGAGGCCTCCAAACATGAAGATACAAGGTTTTCGGGAACTTTTGTGAAAGCGAAACAGATTGTTGAAAATTCATTGGAGCAAATAAAGACTTTGCGTCTAGACTTGGTGGAAACTGCTTCCCATATATCTGGCGCAAGTTCAGGAAAGAGAAAACAGAAATTAGATTTCTTAAAGAAAGAAGCAGAACTTCAGAAGGAAAAGTTAAAATTAGAAGAAGAGGAAATCACTCGGAAAGCTGAAGTGCATAGGAAGAAACAGGAATTAGACATTAATCTGAAACTTTTGAAAGAGGAAAATGTGATCATGGACGAGGAGTCTGAAGGTTCTTTGTCATTGGATATAGAGTCTGAAAGCAAAGATGAACAGGTACGAAGATATGTCGAAAGTCTGAATTTCCGTGAAAATGACGATGCGAGTTCAAACTTACATACTCCTGTTCCGGACAAAACTATACCCATTCCAACGCCTTACCGACCAATACAGAGTTATACAAACCGCATTCTACCTTCAGCCAGTGCACCAGTTTTCCATCCTGCGGAACCAACATCTGCCATTCCTCCTACTCAGTTTGATTCTGTTCCCATAGCTCAACAGTTTCCTAACAACCCTGTGTCCGAAAACGCACTATCAGATCTGACATTGTTTATGATGCGAAAACAGCTTGTACCTGAGAGACTGTCAACATTCGATGACAAGGCAGAATCGTATAATTCGTGGAAGTGTTCATTTCTAAACATTATGAGTGAAATCAAGGTTTCAAAGCATGAAGAACTTGATCTTCTTATCAACAGACTGTCTGGAAAATCTAAAGAAGTGGCAAGCAGCATTAGGAATGCCAATCCTGGAGAAGTGAACCGTGCAGTGAAATTGATATGGGAACGACTAGATGAGATGTTCGGGAGACCAGAAATGATTGAGTCATCTCTTCGATTACAGCTGGAAAACATTCGTCAGATTGCTCCTAATGAAAACAGTAGACTCTATGACTTATTGAACATTTTGATAAAAGTAGAATCACTGAAGGCTAATCCACAGTTTTCAACCAGCTTAGCTTATTTCGACTCGTCAGCAGGTGTCAACCCCATATTGCTGAAGTTACCATACCATCTGCAGGAGAAGTGGATCTCAAGAGCATCCATTTACAAAAGGGACAATACTGTACATTTTCCACCATTTTCCTTTTTTGTACAGTTCATAAAGGAAATGTGTGCTATAAGAAACGATCCTGCATTTATGTTCAACAGATCAGTGACTCCAAGTAATAGAAATGTTACCAAGATGCCAGCATCACGGACTCCTGGTGTACATGCTCGTAGAACGGACGTGAACGAAAATGCAAGATCAAACTACAATCGCTGTCCATATCATAAGGCGGACCATAGCATACACGAATGTAATGGATTTCGTGCTAAGCCACTTACAGAGCGCAAGAACTTTCTACAGAGTAGACGCATTTGTACCAGATGTTGTACCTTTAAACACTTACCTAAAGACTGCACAGTGAACATTCAGTGTCGAACGTGTGGTAGTCATTCTCATGCTACAGCCTTACACCCAGAAAGATCCTATGTACAAAGAGGAAGTGTTCACGGCGGGGAGGCTAACCGTCAGCAACCAGAGACATCTTCACAATCTACGCAATCTGCTGGACCTGTGGCAGCAACAACTGATACCACACCTACTACATCCTTTACAACTGACAGAGTGTCAACTTCATGTACACAGTTCTGCGGCGAAGGGTATAAAGGCCGTTCCTGCAGCAAAACCTTACTTGTGGATGTGTTTCACTCAGACTTTCCAAACTCTACAGTACGTTTGTACGCAATACTGGATGACCAAAGTAATCGATCTCTCGCATCACCTGACTTACTTGATGTCATGAACATTACAAGTGAACCCACCAAATATACACTCACCTCATGTTCTGGAAACACAGTGAGATATGGTAGGAGAGCTCATGGCCTTATGGTTCGCTCCGTTGATGGCTCAGTTATTTACGAGCTGCCTTCTCTTATTGAGTGTGATGACTTACCCAATGAACTGTCGGAAGTACCAACACCAGATGTGGCTAAGTCCTTTGACCATCTACGAGATATTTCATCTCTCATCCCCGAGTTTGATCCAAACTCCAAGATTCGGTTACTAATTGGAAGAGACCTACCTGAAGCTCATCATATTAAACAACAGATTGTGGGTCCGAAAGGCACGCCATATGCCTTAGAACTAGGGCTTGGATGGGTAATCATCGGTGAGGTCTGTTTAGGAAAGATCCATCCTCGTGACTCTGTATGTGTGAATAAAGTGTCAATTCTTGGTAACGGAAGTGCAACCTGCAATGAACCATGTCAAAACTACCTGCATATCAAGGATCATATATCGACCTCTACAAGTGCACTGAGTGATCGTGATTTTCGTGGTGACAATGTATTCACAAAGACTTTACGAGATGACGAAATTGGCCTATCAGTTGAAGATCGTGTCTTCTTACAGCTGATGGACACATCATTTAGGAAGGATGAGGAAGGGTACTGGACAGCACCTTTACCCTTTAGACAACTTCCTGATTACTTACCAAACAACAAACCCCAAGCTTACCGTCGTGCTCAAATACTTCACTGTAGTTTGCAGAAGGATCCTGTGAAAAAAGAACAATTTGTGACATTTATGCATAAAGTACTAGACAGTGGAGCTGCAGAAGAAGCACCTTCTTCCTCGGAATCAGATGGCCCTTGCTGGTATCTACCATTGTTTGGTGTACAAAATCCGAAAAAACCAGGACAAGTCAGAGGAGTGTTTGATTCGTCAGCGGTCTTTGAAGGGACGTCCTTAAATGGTATGCTCATGTCTGGTCCAGATATGGTGAACAGCTTATTGGGGATTCTTCTACGGTTCAGGAAGGATGAAGTCGCAATGACCGCTGATATTGAGCAGATGTTTTATCGATTCAGAGTTGATGAGAAACATCGTGACTTCCTCAGATTTTATTGGTACAGGAACAACAACCCAGATGACATTCTCATAGAATACAGGATGACGGCCCATGTATTCGGGAACAGCCCATCTCCAGCCATAGCGACCTATGGTCTTCGTAAAACTGTGGAGAATGCTGACTTAGACGTAAAGGACTTTGTCAATCGCAATTTTTATGTAGACGACGGGCTAATTTCCTTACCTTCCGAGACTGATGCCATCAGTCTTATGAAACGCACACAGTCTACAATGCAGAGCGAAGGCAAGTTGAGACTTCACAAGATTACCTCAAATAAAAGAACTGTCATGGATGCATTTGATCCAAGTGACCATGGTGAAAATCTGAAAGAAATAGACAGTGATGACACAGTACACAGAAGTCTTGGATTGTGCTGGAGTCTGAATGACGACACGTTCCGATTCACTATCCCGGCAGAAGAGAAGCCATTCACACGTCGTGGCCTCCTTTCACATGTAAACAGTTTATTTGACCCCTTAGGATTTATCGCTCCGATAACCTTAAGTGGAAAGATCCTCCTGAGAGAAGTGACCTCTACAGGAGCCGACTGGGACGAACCTTTACAATCGGAACATCTTCAAAAATGGACAGAGTGGATATCATCTCTTCAGATCCTGAAAGATGTCACCATTCCACGGATGTTATCACATGTATCCATTAGCATAGCCAAGACTGTAGAAGTACACATATTTTGTGACGCCTCAGAAAAGGCGATAGCCGCATCAGCATACCTGAAAGTGACAGACAATGATGGACATTCAAGTGTGAGATTCTTGATGGGAAAAGGAAAGTTAGCGCCATCTAGGGGACACACCATCCCTCGTCTAGAACTCTGTGCTGCGGTTTTAGCGACAGAAATAGCACAGATAATATCGATACAACTGGATATTCCATTGGAGTGTATGTGTTACTACAGTGACAGTAGAGTGGTCCTAGGATATGTCAGCAATCGTACTCGCCGCTTCTATTCCTATGTGAGTAATCGTGTTGACCGCATCCTGAAAATCTCAAGTGCCGACCAATGGAATTACATTTCTACAGATAGAAATCCTGCTGACTCTTGCACCAGGAGCATCTCTTACAATACGGATATTATGCAACTTCCATGGATCGTTGGACCGCAGTGGCTCTGTGAAGCAAAGAGGACAGATGATGATAGTGAAAGTTTTTCACTCATAGAACCTGACAATGATGTTGAGGTGAGACCACTGATGACAAAAATCAGCACTGGACCTTACTTACCCAGTCAACTAGGAACAGAGCGATTTGAGCGATTTTCCAGCTGGAAATCTTTGATTCGTGCAGTTATGACTCTTCAGAAACTTGTCAGGAAGCTACAGACTTCACAGAATTCTCAGCAAGACAAGGAATCTACATCTCACATTGATGATGTACAGAAAGCAGAGTGTTTAGTTCTCAGAGAACTTCAGAAAGAACATTTTCAAAGAGACATTGAATTCATTATCGATGAGAAGTCATTACCCAGAGATAGCAAGATTGCACAGTTGTCACCCTTCCTTGATAAAAGTGGACTCCTTCGTGTTGGCGGTAGGATCAATGCAGCAGCCAATCAAGTACCTGCTAAGGAAGTAAATCCCATCATATTACCGAAAGGAAGTCATATTACTTGTTTGATTATACGGGATTTCCATGAGAAAACCAAACATCAAGGAAGGCTTTTCACTGAGGGAGCAGTTCGCACAGGAGGTTATTGGGCCATTGGAGCTAAACGAGTGATATCATCCCTCATACACAAGTGCGTAACCTGCCGTAAGTTGAGACGCTACAGAGAAACTCAGAAAATGGCTGATGTGCCAGCAGAGAGATTGATTCCAGGTCCACCATTCACTTCTATTGGTATCGACGCCTTTGGACCCTGGGAAATTGTAACTCGTAAAACTCGAGGAGGCGCTGCCAACAGTAAACGTTGGGCAATCCTATTTACATGTTTAGTATCCAGAGCCGTGCATATCGAGGTCATTGAGGAGATGTCGAGTTCCTCCTTCATCAATGCCTTACGACGATTCTTAGCAATACGAGGCCCAGTGAAATTGATACGTTCTGATCGAGGCACGAATTTCATTGGAGCTGCCGAAGAAATGAAAGTCAACACAATAAGAGTAGAAAAAGGACCAGTTCAAGAGTTCTTAGAGACATCAGGAATTACTTGGAAATTCAACGTACCACATGCATCCCACATGGGGGGTATATGGGAGAGAATCATCGGGATCACAAGAAGAATTCTGGATTCTATGCTACTGGAATCACGTTTCAAACCTCTAACACATGAAGTACTGGTGACCTTTATGTGTGAAGTCTGTGCTATAATTAACTCGCGTCCCATCACGCCAATATCCACAGATCCGGAGGAACCTCTTGTTATCAACCCATCTATGATCCTTACAGGAAAGGTCGATTTCTTACCTGTGATATCCCACTCCTTGGATATCAAAGATGTTCATCGTGCACAGTGGAAGCATGCCCAAGTGTTAGCTGACATATTTTGGCAATATTGGAAAAGAGAGTACTTAAAGACACTGCAATCGCGACGTATATGGAAGGACAGACAGCCAAATGTGAAACCGGGTGATGTTGTGATAGTTAAAGACTCTGCAGTGCACCGAAACTACTGGCCGATGGGTATCGTTGAAAAAACATTCGCAAGCGATGACGGTTTAGTACGAAAAGTTCAGATCCGAGTGATTCGTGATGGCAAACCTGCATTCTTCATGAGACCTGTACATGAATTAGTTGTGTTGTTAGATTGAATTGTTATACTGTATTTGTTCATGTTTAGTTTATTTTGTCACGTATATTAGTAGTGGTATTTTATACCAGACGGGGAGTGTGCTGTTATCAGAATTATTTTATGTACGACCTATCTTATTTTTGTGGAACTCTTTTGTGTTATTGTTTTCCTGTATTTCGCGGGTTTTCAACCTGCTTCTGTCCACCTGTTTTACCATATTTTCATTATTTTCATTGATCCTGGTCAGCTCAAAATGTAAGTTTATTGATGTAAATTGTTTATCTAACAAAGATGTTATTTGCAAGATTTGTTTTTATTCGAGAAATATGAGTTTAATTGTACACAGTTTTCTATACATGTGACTCGATCTATGGCGGCCATTTTGAACCTAATTTTGATTGATGTGTGTATATTGATAATCGGTAATTGTAATCATTTAAACCTAGTCTAAATTCTTTAAACTTATTGTACAACAGAAATAGGTTGAAATAGTTTCCCTTTGTATATCTTCATGCGAATTTGAGATCAGTTCATATGTGCTATGTTTGCATGTTCATGCATTCAGTCATTGTGTGTACATTAAGTTTTCTTGTATTTTGTAGCTTTTTACCAAATCGTTAAATCACCAAATCATCAAATCATCGCATCACATGTCATCCACATCTGCTTCATCTTCAATAAATGATCAGAAATTTATACTTTGGTGTACATTGGTTAGCTATACTGTTGATCCAACAGTACACAAAGATCATTTGATAAATCTAAGCAAATTTAAAGTATAACAAGATTGATATCCTTTATACATGTATAACTATAACTATTTTTGCTTCCAATGACATTTCCTTTAAACAATAATAAATATTAAATTTATTTTAAATTATTTAAATTATACCTTTTCATATAAAAGGTTTGAGTAGCGAAATAACCCTCCAGCATATTTTTGGTGTCTATTGAATGTCTGAAAAAAATTATTTAGGTCAGTTCTGTCCAAAGTTCAATATCCATCGTTTCCGGCTCGAAAATAACTATGGATGTCCATGTGTGAATGGAACACCGTCATGTCCATATCACTACAGATCCACGGACGTCTACAAATGTGGGTATTGGTAAGCTTTAGTTTAATGATGTACATTGATTGGTCAGACTAGCTATAAGTATTGGCAAAGTCCATGTGAAAGGCGAGTTTTCAGTTGTTTTGTTACATGTAAAATTAGTTTTATTAGATTTCTATCACTCATATATAGATATTGCTATGATGCATATCAACATGTGGTTTGTTCTCAAAAAATTAAAATTGTGTGCATTTCTAAAACCTGAAAAAGAAAATTGTCTCGTGGGGTGGGGTGGGGTATAAATATTATATATCAGGCCAATCAACGAGCAGAATTCCTTTGCACCCATTTCCATTTTTTCTTCTAATTTCAGGGTCCTTCTTTTTATTCGGGTCTTCAATTTTCAGAAAAAAACATATCGATGTGGTAGATTGTTAGAGTAATGTTTGAATGTTTATTGAAGATAATATAACTTTGTTATTCTGCCTATATTTTGATATAGATAAAACTTGTTACCCGCAAGCGCATACGAGGTAACCATTAAGAACAATCTAGAAGTATTAACAGCAATATATGATTGTGTTCTGAATATTGAAACCTAAATGCTTAATCCCTTAACATGTAAGATGATGAAAATAAACTATAAACCAAAGGATTTTGTTTTGATAACACATAAGTAATATTTGAAGAATTTATTAATCACAGAGGTTGTTTGTAATTAACATGGTTTGAAAAATAATTGTGCGTTTTGTTTTGTTTTTGTTTTTCAATCATATTGTTATCACTTTGAAAAACAGAATAATAAAATCTGTCACTACTTCTTATACAAAAAATAAAATAAAATCGTTATCTTCATTGGAATAATTTTATAAATGTGTATTAGTTAACCAAAATGGAAAATCTATTTTACAATTTTACTGAATACAACACTAGTTAAACTAATGCATGTAAGTTTGTATTTTGTAGTTTAAGCCATTTGATTAGAAATGCATAATACAAAATGCAAATCTGAAAATTCCAGTTTTAAAATAACTAGTAAACTTAGTCTAGTAAACCTTTCCTATAGATACTTTCTTTTTTTAAACTAAATTGATTTTTTTTTTAAATGTTTAGGATTCTTTTTGTCAGATATCATGATATCTCCATGATTTTTGATCATTTTTTTATTTATTTATTTTTTTTAATTATTGAAATTCCGAATTCATTCTTATAGGTTAAGAGTGACACTTATAAACAACTTACAATTCCAAAAATGTGTAAAAACAAATTTATATATATTTTTTAATTTGGATTGCTTTCAGCAGTTTGGATTCACATGGTTTCACCACAATAAACATACATGTACTAGGAGGCAATACTTCTAAGACAACAAAGGGAATGCATAACGAGTAAGTTCTACGTCATTAAGCTTAAGGGTTGGTTAGTGGTGGGGCTTCATTTGTTTATTTTTCTGACAAGTACTAATTCCCTTGGAGACCAAAATTTATAAACCAATGGTCTTGGAGAATGGCCTACTTCAAAAAAATATTGGCCAGAATTAACAGTTGAGGCAAAGCATTTCTTGGCGTTCCCGCATTTGTGACCTGTTAAGCTCAACTTTGAAAGGATCACTTCATTATAAATAGGGATCTGACCTTTAGGACCGGACTTGGTTTTATTCTCTACAAAAAACTTGTTAATTTCCGTTCTGATTAATGACATTAGGCTGAATACATATAACAATTTGTTTTTCCTAAATCTTTATTTCAGTGAGTAGAGATAGGAGGAACCCTTTCATTGATTTTCTGAGTTTGTTATCTCCAAGTGTAATAATTGATATTTTTTTTATTTATCATTGTGCATAATGGTAATGTATACTGTCTCTGAAATTCTATTCTTTATGTCTATGCTATTTATCCGTGAAAATAAAAAAAAATTGTCATCAATGTGCGCAAACTATATAGGCATAACTGAAATCCAAGGAAAAACAGTTACTGATATAATATGTAGCCAAAGTCAATGTGATTAAATTCTAAGGAATATATACAATTGAAATTCATCGCAGCTTAATGCTGCCAATAATACCTGTATCGAGTAACACAAAGTGAGTTATTCTTGTCCTCGGAGAAAGTGTGCTTATATTGTTCTGCCTGAATGACAACTGTACATTGGATTGTTACAATTTGATCTCTCTTTAGTGTTTCTTATACCAATAATGGGCATACATAAAAGATAGGTAATTAAAAGAAAATGCACAAGACTATAAAAAAAAAATTAAAATAGGCTTTGAAAAGGCGAAAAATTAAAACTTTAAAAGTGTGGCACCAAGTGGATTCGAACCCCCGACTTTAAAAAGAAAGTATCGATAGTGTAAAAGTTAGCACACATACCAACTGAGCTAGTCTGAATATAACATAGTAGGGCATAAATTTTAAGCAGATTATCAAAATTAGGTTTCCTTATTTTTGGTAGGTTTTTTGGGAATTTCGACCCTAGGGCAGGGTTGCCCCTAAAAAATCCTATCTTAAATTATTCTTTACATCCCAACCTATCAAAATATTACAGTTTTATTTAGGGGCAGACCTGCCCTGAAGGACTTCTAGACCAAAATACATGCAAAAATCAACGCTTTAACGGACAAAATGATGTTTTGGCCAACTTTGAAGGTTTATTGTAAAGTTGTAAATAATAAATATTAAGTATAAATAACAAATTTTAAAAATTTAGACATATATACTGTAGAAAACAACAAAGAAAGATTAATTTTTAAATGTCACTTTTTCCGGGAAATTGTTCTCTCCTGTAGGTCAATTCTTTTGTCTAAGTGAATAACTTAGTTTTGAAAAACATATATCTTCGTCATAACCTTTGAACTGTTTTTGATACTTAAAGGCTTTTGTATTTCACATGCATGTGTATAGCTCGTGTCAAGAACTTTCCTCGTTTACCAACATTTCCAACCTCATGACCTTTATATTAAAATTTTTACTCACCTTGAAAATACCGATGATAATTTTAAAAAAAAAATATTGCAGAGCTTTCATATATTACGTGTATATTCATTAATTTTTTTTCATTTCCAGATCGAACCTTCCATTTCCAGTTTATGCAATAATTATTATACCCTGTATGTGTGTAGCAGTAGTAGTCATCATTCTTAATATTGTGTTTAAATGCCTTATAAAGAGAAGACGTGAAGGTCAGAAAACGATTGAATCATATTTAAAAATTGTTTTATTGTTTGTTTTAACTTTAAATTGAAAAAAAATTGAATAATTTTAGGTTCACCGAGGAACATCCATGAACAAGAAGCGTTAAAAGCCAATGATTCCTCACTTGCAATTGGAAGAAATGAAAACAAAAAAACTTATTTGAGAGAAGCATTATTGTGCTGATAAAAAAACTATCTTGAAAATAATAAGGTCCTTATTGACTTCATTACTCCGAAATTTTAAAGACAATTTGAATGCCTTAAGATGTATTTTTACATGTATATAGAACATAAGTTTTTAAGTTCAATTCCAAAAGACCCATGACTTTTGACGTAAAAGTGCCGAGCGTTAGATGTAGGTGAATAACAGTTACTATGTACATGTATTGACACATGTTTGTCACGATCCGAGCTTCAATCTAATCCTATCTAGATGTATCTGTCCACTACTAAGCAAGCGCTCTTTCAAAACAATACCTTACATGTATGTAACAAAATTTTGTAAACTATTAAGATAACTCGATAGGAAAAAAAACTCTATTCGATTATACTGAATACATTGTAAAAATTTGATTGACTGAATTGATCAGTATTACACTATAGTGAAAATTTGTAAATTTTGATTTGATTTATTCTGGATTGTGATAACAATGAACGTGGTAATAGATTGGATGTACTCTAGTTCAAATGTACTTTATGTGGCTGTCGTCCGCTTAGTGCAGTGGTTAGAGCGATTGCCCTAGTCGTGGAGATACAAGTTTTTCTTATGTCACGGGTTCGAATTCCACAGCGCAGTAGGTGCTAGCAAGAAATAGATCCCTCACTGCAACAAAGTAAATATATCTAAATTTTAAGTCCTCTTCAAAAATCTACCTGCAAATGTTGTCGTACCTCTTATTATCATTGAACAATTTGCAGAGACCATTATCACAGTTTGATTTATCATGTACAGAACATTAATAAAACAAAAAAACAATTGCTCTTCCATTTGATATTTCAAAATTGTTTTAAAAAATCTGTGCGATACCTATTAGTTTATTACTGTGAAATTGCACATTTTCGTGGGGTCAAATTTTCGAGGTCTGAGGAAAATGTACTGATTTATGAGGATTTGAATTCATTGTTAGGAAATGTTTTGTTGTAATGTACATGAAATTTTAATCTTGTGGTGGTCATAATTTTGTGGGTTTCTCCATGCCTATGAAACAACAAAAATCGAACCAACCCACGAAACTTCTTGCTTTTACAGTATTTATATTGCCATTCTCATGATTCTCATAAATTGAAGAATATTAGGTTTTGGGGCAAATGAAAGATGGAAGTTTGGGTATAGTATGAAATATATGTATAAAGTGCATGGAGATCAACCGTCCACTCGCGAAGAACTTATCTCCCACGATTTGATGTTACATGTACTAGTATATATGTCTCAAAGACATTAATTACAAGCGTAAAATAAGGAATGTATACAGCATGTCCTAGTAAGTTTAGTATCGTCTAAATTTATCTGGTTTGATTTTCATTCAAATGTTATTGTTACTATGTCTGAACCTAACATGTTTTGATAAGCAGCTGCATCATCAGATAAATCGTTGGTCGTAATTAAATTGTTCCTTGTGTTAAATTTATCACGTAGAAGCCAACCAAAATACACCATATAAAGTACTGCACAAGTCGTACCGAGCGTTGTAACAGAAATTCTAAGTTTCCTGTTCAATTCATTACTGCTTTGTTTCCTTGTCTGGTATGATTCTGTAACGTTTGGTATTATGGAATCCTTGTCTGTACTCTGTGTAGTCACTGTAGTCATTTCCCACTGTGACTGACTCACAGTAAAAAGAAATGCTGTTTTTTCTTGAAGGTAAAAAATAATTATCATGAAAAGGTAATAAGTAGTAATATACCATAAAAATGATTGATTTATTTGATATACATGTTTCATTAAGTTTAATTAAGTCTGTTTTAGTGAGTTTAACTTTTATATTTTATACCTGATTCTGGACAGCCTGTTCTGTGGTCACATGTTCCATTACTGCAATTCTCACACCGCTTGCTGCATAAGTAGCCATACTGAGGATAATGACACAATATGGAACAATTCCGTCCAACAAAGCCAGGGTTACATTCTGAAGTTTAAATGTCACATAGTATGGTACAGTCATAATGTGTTGATATAATATCTGTTTTAGATAAGAAAATGCAACACAAATCCATAATTTGCTTGAAAAATATGGATTAGTACTGAAAAGTACTTTTAACTGAAACAGGGAAGTAAGCACTTTCTAGTATAATAGTATGAAAAGCCTTTATTAAGTAAACTTTGTCCAGTTCATATGTTTTAAAAGCGGAATCACTTGGAACTGAACTGTGGAAACAAAAGTTCTCATGTGTTTGATTCTTACCGATACATCTTCTAAGAGTTGTATTCCAAACACTGTCATCCCTACAGGTCACGTTTACACTGCTGATAAAACACACAAATAAACTCACTCGCATATCTTTTTAAGATTCTTACACAAGAATATGAAATTGATATCGGATTTACATACCTTTGTTCAATTGCTTTTCCAGGTTCATTTCCTAAGACTCTGTACAGAAAGAAAATTATAAGCGTTGCACCCAACTGCATTATATTAGTTGTAGGATGAACTTGACATGCTAATGAATCAATAAATAGTGTTATAGATCACAACTGGGAAGTAGAATGCACATTAAAAATAGGAAAAGGTTTTATAAAAAATTAAAATTAAGATTAAACAATAAAAAAGGTTGCTTCAATATTGAAAAGGATTTACCTTAATAAGAATGAACTTTTTTCTCCACCATTGTCTCTTATTTACAAAATGTAAGCTGTAAATCACGCCGATTTCCCATTCAAGTCAGGAATGTTTAAATTTGAGTATTAGAATATTTATTTAATAATTTGCTAACTGTAACAAAAGTTTTTCAGAATGTACCCAAAATCTTTAGAAAAACATATCGGGAAAACACAGGTTGCAAATTACCGTTAGAGTGCTAACTTTTAGGTAATTTAGTGAGTATTTTTTGATCGGATATTTAAGATGGAGTGTATAGAAATAAGTGATTGTTTATAAATTGCACGTTGTTGCTACAAAATAATTAGAAGCTCTTTTAAAGCAAATTACATTTCAATTACCCTGTGCAAATTTTGGTTTTTCCCCCACAATACTTTACATTCCATCATACAATTAAAATCATACATGTCACTTTCAATTGCTTAGTATCATTCTATTTGAATCGTCGAATACTTTATTTACACAACAAAGTAAAATCCTCAAAATACAGTTCACATTGCTCTAAGACTTTCCGCTTAAGCAAAATTAAAGTTGAATACTTACGCTTCGGGCGTTTATGATTGTGTACCATTGAACATGATAAGTATTCAATGATTATTTTAATCTAAATCTAAAAGATATTTTGCATGAAAAAGTAACCTGTTCAAAAGTCAATTTAAAGAATGATTCGTCGAAGATGTATAGGTGAGATGAATCCTATCAATAAGCAATGTCCTCTGATATTTCTATATTTTTACCAGAACCATTATATGTTTCCTTGTCTAACCTGATTCTTTGAGGCTTTTCGTCATTACGTCGTTTTTTATCTTCTGTTTGGTCACTCTTTTGAATGTTTTCCGATATGTCTGTCTCGTAGTAGCTGGGAAAAGTGTGGATTTTAAAATATTGATTTTTTATAAATATGTCTGAAAATAGAAGTAATTGATCGATATATCCTAGAAAATCAAATGATTCTTTTAGTATATTTTTCAAGTTTAATCTTTTTTTAATTTTTTTTTTTTCATAAAAGATGGCAATTGAATAAAGATTTGCCAGCTCCTTAACGACAGGACATTCTGATTGATTAACCGGCTAATTGTGTCACAAAAGCACATTGAATATTGCTTTTTTGATACATTGTAACAGTATTATATAAACACAAGAAGATATTTATAATATTATATTATAAATAATTTTTCTGTTTTAAATCGTTTATTTCACTGCATAATTGCTATGATTGTCGAGTATAGGTCTAAATTTGTGGACTGCCACCAGCGAGTGGCGTCGTCCTAATAGTAGTGAGAGACGTTGCACAAATACAGACAAACAAACAAAATAATATTACAGCATAGTCGAAGTATCCGCGATATGGTGTTTAAAGCTGAAAACGATTCATAAAAGGAATTTGTCCGCCATTTTTGTTCTCGAGTCTAGCTACTTGCAGACCCCTATAAATAGGGCAAAACTTAGTAACTGTTCAGTGTCATCGGTCGACACCGTTGTAGACGGACGTATGCTATTCAAAACTCGGTAGCGAGAATAATAGTAAACGTAATACTTCGTCTAATGCAGGAAAATAAGATACCAAATAAATTTACAATTATAGTTGTATAAGCAGTGCAGTATACAAACAACACAGATAAACGTAAAAGCGAAAAATATAAACAAAGGTAATGCAAGATAACCAGCACGAACACGGGTCGCCATTCCACGCCGACACCCGTGGCAATAAAGCAGTCAGGTGTAACGAATGCGACGAGTATACCCTAGTTACCGTCTTCCTTGGAAGACGGTATTATATAGTTGAAGTTTTTTTTACAGTCTTTGGACTATGCACTTCCTCTCTTTTGTGATTGGTAGAAATTGCATGATGAGAAAACTTGCAATAATTGCATTGGTTGAAATGTTGTCCAAGGCAAGGGAGATAACTTTCTGATGATCTAATTTTCGCACGACTTAACAATTTTGCAAGATTTTCAATCTTAAAAAATTGACAAAACGAAAAACAAAATCAGCAGCAATTAAATCTAAATAACATGATATTTTTTTTATAGCAATAACTAAAAAGGTCTCTTTATTTTCATTGTAAATAAAATTTGATTTTTATTGCTTTCAGGCTTTACAATTTGTTATTATTCTTTTCCCCTTTCTTGTTTGAAGAAGGTTACGGAATCAGCCGAGGTTTGCCGAAAGATCTCGGCAAGTCAAGTTTATGATAGGGCTAATGCTGGTATAAAGCTAATGTAGAATTTATACAAAATCAAGATATTCAAAAGAATTATACAGCCTGAAAGGTGTAGATCAGTTTACTTTTTAAGGTTGTTGCTAAAGACGGTAAGCTTTTTTAAAAAGCTCTACTTGTATTGATGTATTGTAGATAATGCTATCGAAAATGGCGTCTGCCTATTTACGAGTCGTGTTCAGCTTTAAATAGTAATTTAAACACTTCACAAACGGACGAGCAAACCAGTGATACATGTATCATTCCAAATACAACAAATTAGCTTAAATAAGTTAAACACTAAAATATCATAGTTTATGCAGAGATTTCTTGTTCTCTTACTTTAAGAAAATGGCTTTCCAATTTACGTACAGTCATGTATATTTTAGTTGTTATATTTTGGACTAATGAAAATTTTTGAAAAACAAAATGTCTAACCGATTACTATCTTCCTGACCGACTTATTGTGTTTTATATTTGTTTACCTCTCTCCGGACAGCCTGTTCTGTGGTCACATACTTCCTTTGTACAGTTCTCACATATCTCGCTACAGTAGTAGCCGTAATAAGGATACTGGCACATCAAGGAACAATTACGCCCAACAAACCCTGGTTTACATTCTACAAATTATTATCTTTTAATCAAGGATAGGGTGATTGAAATAAGTACACGTAATTGTAATTTACTGTAATTAAATACATTTTTTTTCAAAGTTTTCCAAAAATGTCATGTGTAATTTATTTAAATAACATTTCAATTACATCTCAAATGCTCAATTTTCAAGTAAAATATTAGATGAGGTATTTTATCTTTAATGATGCAACTCAGTACTATTTGACATGAGCTTGTTTTTATTCAACAATTTAATATTTGATAATGTTTAAACGGCATAAGCATAAACATAAGGTCAATTCGAAAGGTAAAATTAATAGTTTCGCTGCTTCAAATTATTCATGTATATGTTCTTTACGATTTTTAAAAAACAAAACTGAAGTAATTGATGTGAATTTAATTACATTCTTTAAAGTTATCTAAGTCGCCCGCGTATCGAAGTGGTTAGAGCGTCTGCTCTAGATTTGCGAAGTAAGGAGTTGATTCTTAAGTCGCAAGTTCGAATACCACTTTGGGACGTGGAGACTGGTACTTCGGATGAGACCGTATAAACGAGATCTCGTGTCTCAATAGGTACTGGCACGAAAAAGATTTCTTCCTGCTCAATGGCCGTAAGTGATAAGTGTAGAACAAAATTTGCAGCTCTCCATCGGCAAGTTGTGGTGTGTCCATATGAGTGAAAATTCTTCAAGAGGGACGTTAAACAAGAATCAATCAAAGTAATTGAAGAGAAAATTATGGAGATAACGAACAGTATTCAAGCTCTAAAGTTTATAATACAATACGAAATAGGAGCGGAGTAAGCATGGACCTCCAAAACGTCAGAGGTGGGATCAGGTGCCATGGAGGAGTGAACATCCCCTGCCTACGGTACAACCGCCGTGGACTTGTCAGGATCATGATCATGAGAAGTAATTAATAAGCTTTGTTAAAAATCAATGTATATGTAATTATAATTGCATGTAATTGACTATATCATCAATGTTTTTGAAGGTATTTTTTTTTTTAGATTTTTTTTAGATTTTCAAGTAATTGACCCAACCCTGATGTTAATATTTATGTTTTGTATAATCAGCAACTGCCATATTATTAATTTTCTTTGATAATTGATAAGCAAATGAGAATTCTTCTAATAGTTATGAAGAATGTTAAAGCAGAAGATGAGTTTTAGTTTGAGACAAATATTTTGAATGGCACGTTGACCGCCGCATATTTTATTGTCGGCTTAAATGGTTGTATGTAGAGCTCTTATTGTTACATTGCTTACCGGAACATTTTCTGAGAGTTTCATTCCAAACACTGTCATCTCCACAGGATACCCTTACACTAGAATTTTATCACCGAGATTAGAATTACTTATTAGATGATTGCATTATACTTGAAATATACTTTATGAACCAAGAACATGAAATAAGTATCGTTTATGTTTAACCTCGAGCTCCGTTCCGTTGTCAGTCTTTTACCGTTAGTAACACTGTATATTTCCTAAAAATTTAAATGTAGCATGGAGCTGTATTTCTAGTGATAAAAGGATACACACCCTGGAGATTAAGGGAATTATTAATAGAAATATCAATCCAAGAAATGCTAGACGTTTAAAATGACTCTTTAAAATCAGAAAACTTCTCCTCACTAATAATTTTATTTTCGGACATTGAAAACATTGCACTGTACACATGTGAAAATATTTAGCCAAAAGAAGAAAAAATTAAAAGACGAATGCAACGAATTATTAATGGTCAGAAAATCTAGAATGTTGCTTACTTTATAGGTTCGAAATTACGTGCAAAAAAGTTTTAATTAATCTATGTCGGGTTACAATGTGAAAATGCTTGATTTTAATATACTAGTATGTATTTTTCAAAAAGTTGCCTAAAGAAAGACCTCTATACTCGTAAGTATTATATTTCAGCTCACATTATTTTAGATCTAAATGCATATCACTTTAACTGCATTCTTTATCGTTTTATAGAACTGTTTTATACATATAGCATCATTAAAGGTGTAGATAAATATATGATTATTTCCCATTCTTTTCTACTACTAGTACTTTTAATAATAAAATGTTCATACATTTTGCGTGTATTAAAGGAAAAATTCCAATTCAGTTCTCTTTATTGACAAGGACTATGTAGGCATACCGTTATAAACGTATCAATAACATAAAACTTAACACAAATTAATTATATACAGTGTGACACACATTAAACAAACAAAATTAAACTAGAGGTACGGTGAGCAATGAGCTCACTAAATGATACCCTTGTCTCCAATATGGTTATAATGGCAAAGTCCATGTTTTGCTGTGGCCGGGAAACCAAAAGTATGTGTCGGATCAAAAAGTAAAATAGGAGGTCACAATGGCAAGATGTAATTAAGATTCTGTGAAAATTTCATTAAATTTCACTTCGTGGTATAAGAGGAGTTGTGGATAGAAGATTGGAGCCCCAAAGCGTAACAGACAGACGGACGGACAGACGGACGTACAGATAGACGGACGGACGGACATACCGATTATTATATACCCTCCCACGTTTCAAGCGGGGGGGGGGGGGTATTATACATATATTACATGGCTTCGAGGGCAGCATACCAGAATATTTGCCCCAAGGTGACAGGAAAGGCAGAGGGCGACATAACATTCCAGGGCTTTCCTGTCACCGAGGGGCAAATATTCTGATAATGCTGTCCGAGAATTAAGACATGCAATTTATGGTATATAACATTTTTAAGCATTGAACCCAAATCGATCATCGAACATATCTATTGAACACTATGTATATGTGCGTTGAGTATAATTCAGAAATACCCCCACCTTTTTTAATGGCAGAATGTTTTCAGTATGCTGACACTTGTGTTGATAACCTTTGTTATATTTAAAGAATTCTTCTCCTCAAATGAATTATCTAATTCCTCTGAATTCAAATAAAAAATCGCAGACGTTGTCTCGACTTTTCAATTTTCGCGGAACTGTTTACGTTTGCTTAGCAACTGCCTCTGTGAACTTCGAACCCGAAGTACATGTATTTGATATGCAGAATGATTGCACACGAGGGAACATAACTGTGTTCGGGAGGGCAATATAACTGTTTCCGGTGGAATATAACTATATCCGGCGTGATTCGGCAGTTTTTCAGGGCATATGGATAAAAATATTATATTTGTGATATAATGGGAATACTTCTTCAAAAATGTTATACATTGTATAATAAACTACAGAATGCAGAAAATCTTCACAATAGTCATTGTTGATTTTTTTTCTGATGTCAAGCAGCTTTCTTGAAAAACATCATATCCTTCTGGCAACTGTGGTGTTTTTAGGACTGACATTTTTACGAATGAAAAATCTAGCGGAATTCCATCAGAGTAATTATGCATATAAAATATACAAGTTCAAAGAAACTTGATTGATTCAATTCATAAAATTCAGTACAACCTTCAATTGTTGAATTATTTTGGATAAATTGTCTGAAATTAGATATAAATTGTATTTTATAAATAAAGTTCAGCCATTTCACCCTCAATTTGATATATTTTCGATGTTTATTTTAAAGATTTTAGTTCTGAATGGCTTGAGAAATATGCATATTTTTCAAAATAGTGTCATATATTTTAGATAACCCTGTAGTATTCATTATTAGGATAGGACTGAATTGCCTCAACTGGAATATTTTCAGTTGAACCCCTGTTTTGTTGTGATATTTGCCTGTTTCTGTTGATATCGTATACAAAGATAATAAAATACACTGTATACGAAAGGGCACAAAATGAACCAAGTCCCCTTATCAATTTCAACAATATTTTGTTGATGTAGTTTTGTGAATTCGGGGAAAACGTTGTGTTTAAATCTACAGTTGTACACAGATCGGTACCGTTAAGGATTGCCGTCGTCGTCTCTTGTAACTGAACACTTGCACCATGTCCTATATCACTCTGAAAACCATCTGAAACTGTAAAATGAAACAGATTGTCCTAGTTTATATGTATATTTAAAAAACAAAGGGATACAATCAAATGTATAATTTGGATCCACAAATTTTCCTGTAATGAGTCAAGACAAATCTGGCTATTCGCAGCTTGTTTTTGCTTATCCTCTTGTATGAATTATTAAAAACGCAATTGAGTAAAAATGTCATGTATTGAACAAACAAATAACTAAAACTAAAACTACATTACACATTAAAAGAACGTATACAGATGTAAAGCAATTAATTGGCAGGGCTTAAGACAAAATATACAGTTAATGGCAGACTGACTAGTTAAACATACAGACTAGTCACATGACCTAATTCTTTCTTTTTCTTTTTCTTTTTCACAAAAACAGCCCAGTCAATAGTTTAATGGTAAAAAGACTTAAAAAGCCAAAAGTATTCATCAAAACTAAAGGGAGTGTAATGTAAAATAGTTAAATTTAATTTTTTTGTGAAAAAATGATAAATTCTTAATAAGACAGCCAATCAGAGAGCTGGGTATTATTCAATCATACAATGAAGACATTTTACAAACCACCAAAATATTTCACTGGAAAGATTACAAGACAAAGTGGGTAAGTAGAAATTACCTGATCCGTTATAGAAGGGACACCCAGTCACTCTGTTACAAAGGCCTTCCGAACAGTCACATTTAGAGTTACATAGAAACCCGTAGAGAGGATATGGACACATCACAGTGCAATTCCTCCCAACATATCCAGGGCTGCAAGCTGGGTGTATACAGAGGTTAAAACATTAATCTTTATAATTTTTTTAAAGAAAATTTTTTTAAAAAAACGTGTAAGTTAAATAATCGAAAGAGGAATCTTTTTTAGTTAAAAAGTGGTTACAGTGGTGAAAACAGCTCAGATAATGTTATGAAAATATATAAAAACCCATTTTACAAAACTTGTATCAATAATTTCAATACTAGTACTTTTAATCATAATATAGTATAGTATAATATAATAGTATTCATCGGATTTTCTCAAAACAAAGTTATTATCTAAATGACTCGAAAAAACAAGACATTTTGAAAAAAAAACTATAAGATTTTTTTTTTCTCCTACGAACAAGATGATAAAAAGCAAGATGTGTCTGTGAAACACTGATGCATTCGTATGGCTGCTATTAATGGCGAAGGTTGAGGTTTCTGAAATGCAAGTAAAACTACAAGGTCAAAATTGTTTGTATCCATAGGAAGTCCATGTCTGAGGGAATACATATGTGAAACTTGAAAGCTTTAGTACTACCTGTTCAAAAGTTACGGCTACGGTTAAAGTTTTTTTTAAGTGGATCAAACTCTGAGGTCAAGGTCAAAAGGTTAAAATACTTACTAGTATACCCGTTGAAAGGTCTTGTCAGACAAAATACATGTACTCGTATGAAGCATGAAAGTCCTAGCACCAAAGGTTCAATATTTATTACCAAGGTTAAAGTTTTTTATGAAAGTGGGACAAAATCTAAGGTCAAGAGGTCAAATTTGTTGGTACGCAAAGAAAGGTCTTGTCACAAGGAATACGACTGTGAAATATAAATTCCATCGCCCCATACACTCAAAAGGTATGGGCAAGGTGACAGTTCTTGCGGACAAACAAACAGACAGACAGAGAGACGGGCATAGCAGGAACTATACACCCCCAAATCTTCGATTAAAGGGGCATAATTACCCTTTTATTACGATCGAGTTAAATTTTAGAAAAGTACAATCTCACATTGACCCTAGAACTGATATCAAAAATACCATATTGCTTACCTTGACTGCAATTATTTTGCACATTTTTTCGGCAATAAAGTTAAGCAATTTTAGCTAGTCACCGAGAACAGCAAGTTTTTGAACATGAGCAAATAAAGTGAAAACAATAATTACTGTAAACCAACTTTTATTCGCGTGCGAGAAATTTTCGCGAAGTTCGCGAGAGCCTCGTCATCGCGAATACTTCTCGCCGCGAACCGGTTCTTAAAGTCTATGTGTCTATTCACAAGAGAACCTAAATAGGCTTGATCGCGAAAAATAATCGTCGCGATCTAGTTTACCTCTACTAAATCGCGAAATAAAGTCGTCGCGAATAAAAGTTGGTTTACAGTAAATTAAAAATTGATTGAATTAATCCACTTAATAGAATTTAAGAAAAATTTATTCTTACGTATGCATTGTTTGGCTGTGATATTCCAGATATGGTCATCGCAGCATTCTATTCCATTTGTACTAAATCGAGTAAAAATAATAATTTTCTTAATACCATTTATACAATTTTGGCTGTTTTGAGGTTAATACTAAGACTCAGCAACCGGAGAAATATGGAGAAATACAGCATTATCTCCGATCCCGAGGACTATATTTGAATTGTACTCCGAAGGTGGCTAAATCATCGCATTGATTGAAAAAGATCATTTTATACCGTTATTAATAAACTCGTTAAAAATATATTCAACATCCTTAAAAAATGTGAGAATAAGTGATTATTTATTAACATATTTTCTTTTGGTAATGGAATTTTCGTAAAGTTTCTTACCTGTTGCATCTCGTTAATGTACTGACTTCAAAAAAAGAAAATAAAAGGAGGATTATTATTATCATTTCCTTTCACGAGATTATTTTCAAATTTGATTCATTCAATTTACAAAATGTATTTATTAATCAATGGAATTACTTCCTTAATACAGGGAAGTATCAACCAAAACAAACACTTGGGTATAATTAATATTATATCGATTTTTTGATGCTTCGTGTTTTGCATAACTATTTATCTGAAGATATATTGCATTTTAAGACTTGAAAATTGTTGAATCTGTCAAAAAACTAGAGGCACTATGAGCAATAAGGTCACTAAATGATACCCCCGCCTCCCATATGGTTATAATGGTAAAGTCCATTTTGCTAGGGCCGGGAAACCCAAAATATGTGTCGGATCAAAAAGTAAAATAGGAGGTCACAATGGCAATATGTAATAAAGATTCTGTGAAAGTTTCATTAAATTTCACTCAGTGGTATAAGAGGAGTTGCGGATAAGAGATGGGTACCCCATAGCGTAACAGACAGACGAACGGACGGACGTACAGCTAGACGGACAGACGGAAAGACATACCGATAACAGTATACCCTCCCACTTTTCAAGCGGGGGTTTAATAATACTTTAGATAAACATTTAACCATGCGGTTTTTTTTTCCAAATATTTCTTGGCTGCATGCTGGGGCCATAACTTAAAACTGAGAGCATAAATTTAACTACTGAAGAGATAACTTCATCTAAGACTATACGTTAGAACTGCATGTATTTACTAACGGCCTATTATTTTAAAGGTTACTGTAGACCTTGAAAACAACAAGCAGAATTCAAGGTTATTACATTTTGCGGTGTTATTACATTTGGCGTTGTAACAGCGCTTTCATTTCATCTTCATAAATATATATTTATACCCCCCCCCGCTTGAAAAGTGGGAGGGTATATAGTAATCGGTATTTCCGTCCGTCTGTACGTCTGTTACGCTTTGGAGTACCCATTTCTTATCCGCAACTCCTCTTATACTACAGAGTGAAATTTAATGAAACTTTCACAGAATCTTTATTACCATCTTGCCATTGTGCACCTCCTACAGGGACGTAGCAACGGGGGGGGGGGGGGGGGGGGGCAGGGGGGTCCTGGCCCCCCAATTTTTTCCCCAACATTACCTTTACTATTTAAAATGTTCATTGAAAGGATGGTTGCCCCCCCCCCCCCCCCAATTTTTACCATAGTATAGTGACTAGTGACATCAAAGAATTGTAGGAAAAAATTGGAAGTGAAAGTAATTTGGCCCTAAAAAATGTTGGCCACTACCCCCTTCCCCCCCCCCCCCCCCCCCCCCCCCCCCACGAAATAGGATTTTCGAGTTTGGGCAATTTTTAATTTTTTTTTTTTTTTTTTTGCTTGTCACTTTTTTTTTAGGTAAGTAAAAAAAATTTTCTCAGGTTGCCCCCCCCCCCCCACTTTCAAAAACGATGCTACGTGCCTGTCCTATTTTACTTTTTTATTCGACACGTATTTTAAGTTTCTCATAGCAAAACATGGACATTGCCATTATATTTTAATTATTTTGATGAGGCAGGCCCAGGATAGACAAGAGTAGAGGAAGTTTGTTGCTGCCCTACGTACTCGAGCTGTAAAGGGCAATGATGATGATTTTCTTAATAAATGAAATATTCTCGATAATGTACGAGTTACTCATTTTTCCAGGATCTGGTTGCACGAACGATAGTTAAATTATCTTTAAGTTAATGCAGTAACTACCTGTTGAATAGTTATTAATAATAATAATAATAATAATAATAATAATAAATACTTTATTTAAAGAAGGTAACCTGGTTAGTGCATGCACTATTCTTCCCCAGGGCCTTCTATATATATCAAATACAAAAAATAATACAGAATACAATTCATCATATATAATAGTAATATGTTTAAGGAATTACAATCATACGATAATGAATATAATGTCCATGTATAGTTTTAACAATCATAATACAATATACAATATCGAAACCTTATTGTCCTCAAAAAATTGTGCGACAGCTGATGATGTAATTTTCTATATTACGCTTAAATGTTCGTAGAGATTGAGAGAATCTAATGTGTTGGGGAAGTTTATTCCATAGATGTACACCTGAATACTGAAAAGATGTCTTGAATAAGTTTGTACGAAATTTCGGCAATCTTAGATCATAATTACTTTCAGATCGTAGATTATAAGAAGTAGAAGAATGAAATTCAAATAAATTACAAAGATATTGGGGAGTCGTTCCACTGAAAATTTTGTATAATAATATGTATTTGTATAGATCAACTAGCTCATAAACTGTTAACCATCCAAGTTTCTCAAACAGTGGTTTAGAAGAAGAATCTGGACTTGCGTCAAGAATAATCCTTGCTGCCCTTTTCTGTAATTTAAATAATCTGTCCATGTCCTGCTTGGGGGCATTACCCCAAATAGTCAAACAATAGTTAATAGATGGTAAAATATAAGCATTGTAATATAGTTTTCTGGTATGTAGAGGGAGAAATTTCTTAATCCTTCGAAGAGTAAATAACTTATAATTTATCGTTTTACAAACCGAGTCAATATGATTTGCATATTGTAACTTATCATCAATATGTACACCAAGAATTTTTTCAGTTTCAACCATTTCAATTGTTTTGTCTGAGGCATAAAGTTGTAAATTTGGATTATCTAATTTTGATTTTCTTTGCTGTGTTCCCATTAACATACATTTTGTTTTATCTACATTTAAAACCATTTGATTTTGAGCACACCATTTCTCAATCTCACAAAGATCTGAATTTAGTGTATTTTCTAAACATCTTGCATTATTATTATTAGAATACAGAGTTACATCATCAGCAAACATATCAATATTTGAATTGTTTACATGTAATGGAAGGTCATTTATGTACAATAAAAATAAAAGTGGGCCCAAAATTGACCCTTGTGGCACTCCTGCTGTGACGGGTAGAATATTGGAGACACATGATCCAAATTTAACACACTGGGTCCTATCGTAAAGATATGATTTAAACCACTTTATAGCTGTTTGGTCAAATTTGTAATGGGTTAATTTCTCTAGAAGAATATCATGATTCACTAAATCAAATGCTTTACTAAAATCTATAAATGTTATACCGATTAATTCACCACGATCCATTGCAGTAAGCCAACTTTCTGTTAGTTTTGTAAGTGAAGTTTGACAGGAATGGAGTTCCCTAAACCCCGACTGGGATTGTGTTAGTAGATCAAATTCATTAGTGAAATTTTGTATTAGCTTAGCTACATGTTTTTCTATCAATTTAGATATAGTTGGTAGAATAGAAATAGGACGATAATTATTCGGGTCAGCTTTGTCACCTTTCTTAAAAATAGGTGTTACTTTGGCTTGTTTTAAATTTGTCGGGAAAATACCACTTGCTATGCTAGCGTTAATAAGATGAGTTATAGGTTTACATATATATTTAGATGTGACTTTCAGAAGACGTGGCCCAATGAAGTCAATGCCAGCTGATTTATTGATATTTAGAGAATTTAACATGTTATAAACTTCACTTTCCTCAATTTGATGAATACTAAACAATGTTTCTTCATCAAGCTTAGACCTAACAAAATTACATAATATATTAGGATCATAATCATGTTTTGGCATATCCAATAGAAGCTTGTTAGAGACATCCATAAAGTGGTTATTAAAAGTATTTGCAATATCCTGTAAATTGTCAACAATTTCACCATTAGAAGACACATGAGATGGAGTTGTATTCTTAAGATTACATGTTAATTGATTAAGATAGTTCCACATTTCTTTGGGATTTGAACTCTGTTCAATCGCTGTTTTATAGTAAGAAGATTTTGATTTGTTTATAAGAACGCTAACTTTGTTTCGATAAATTCTATAGTTCTCCATGTCTCCTTCTTTGTGGTAATAGTCCCGTAAATGTCTAGCATTGTTTATTTCTTGTGTCATCCATTTAGGACGGATTTCACTCTTTACTCGTTTTGTTTTAATCTGTGCATGCTGGTCAAGGACGCTATTAAATAATTCATAGAATTCAGTTAGTATTTCATTAGGGTCATGCATCTGGAGGAGATTGTTAAATTCTATTTGTTTTAAGTCTTGGAGGAATTTATTTTCATCAAACTTTTTGAAGTCTCTATACTGAATTTCTATATGTTTTCCTTTTTGCGGCATGCATTTTGTTTTTCTAGTGGCACATATTGGGTAGTGATCAGAGATGGCTATAAAAGGTATATTTACTTCACACATGTTATCTGGTTTATTGGTGTAAAAGTGATCTATTAGGGTACTTGAGGTATTAGTTACTCTGGTTGGTGTTGTAATTAATTGTGAAAAACCATACTCTTCCATAGCATATGTCCAACTTTGTGGGGGTTCTTTGAATAAGTCTACATTAAAGTCACATGTTAAGATAATTTCTGCATCGTCACAGCAGGAGGCACAGTTAATCTCTCTAGCCAGGTCCTCTGCCCAGCAGGAGGGAGCAGATGGTGGACGATATGCTGAACAGTAATAAATTGGTTTAGAATTTTTAATCTTTAATTCCAGCCAAATTGTTTCAATATTATTGATTTCAAAATCAGGCCTACGTTTATATCTTATATTATTAGAAATGTAGACAATAATTCCACCACCTGCTCTCAGAATGCGATCTTTTCTTTCCATATCGAAACCCTCAATATACAATTCAGAATCACTGACTTGGTCATTCAAGAAGGTTTCACAAAGTCCTAAAATATTTACAGTTTGTTTGTCATGAAGTAATAGTTTAATTTCTTCAATTTTAACTTGCAAGATACTAGTAACTATGTTCACATGTGATAAATTATGTTGCAATGTGATATCAACACATTTGAAGTTGATATAAAAATCCGTCATTTTTTATGGGAAACTTAATAGAAAAAGAAATTTTCATAACAACAAATTTTACATATACCATATGTTGTCGTAAATAGTCACATGACAACAGTTTTATCTCGCATGTTGGGACACATGTAAATAAAACGTTTCCAGAAATATTATATTGACATGAATGAAACATACATGTATGGAGATAACGAACAGTATTCGGATCAAAAGTCCATAAAAATATACAAAATAGGAGCAAAGCAGACACGGATCTCCAAAACATCAGAGATGGGAGCAGATGCCATGGAGGAGTAAGCATCTTATGCTTATATGATCATATGATCATATGATTCTTATATATAAAAATGTTTTGCATTAATTCGTAGCTTAAATTAAAAAAAAATGTCAGCAAGAGCTGAATAGAGAAAAAAAAGAAACCTACCCAATCAAATCTAAATAAATTTTTTGGAAAACAAATTATATAATGCATCCCTCAAATAATTATTTTTAAAATAATAGTAAATAATTACCTGCACGTCCACCTCACTCGGCATTTCAGTTGCGAATGCTTAAAATGGGATACTAAATCAATTTTCTGCTAAAATCATCTGATTGGTTGAGAGATATGTCCCCAAATACGAATGTAAATTGGTGAGGTCATTAGAAAGGTCATGTCACAAGTCATTTAGAATACTCGTTTCCTACTGTATCAGAGATACAGGGCGGGGCCCGGCTCGAGCTATCGCTCTCGCCTCAAGCCCCGCCCTGTATCTCTGATACAGTAGGAAACTCGTACTCTAAATAATACTTAAAAATAGACTGCACTTGACATAGATGACTAATTTTTATGATATGTTTCATAAGGAATGCATGTTTTCAATAAAGGTACGTTTTTTACTACTGAGTTTTGAAAAATTGTAGTCACTTTCCCAACATGTAGATTGAACGCTTCATTTATTTTAATATAATACAGTAGATTAATATACTAGTCATTTTTGGCTTTGTTCAGGTAACAGAATTTCAGGTTTTTTGTTACATGATTTTATGCTTGTCATTCTTTTTTGCCCTTTGTCCCTTAAAAATGATGGCTATGCATGCATTGATGTGTAAATACACCTAATATATACTCACCGTCAATAGAAACGCAACACCCTAATTTTAGGGGTGAAAATTATATACGGGATATAACTATGTACCAAAAAAGTTAGGACATCTTTTACTTTGCCAAATCAGTTATTTAACGGTTGAATGATTTTCATTCCATTACCGGAAGTTGATTTTTAGCTCCCTGAACAGAAATCAAAAAATAGCATTTTTAATAAAATTATTGACAATATTTTGGGTTTTCAAGGTTTTGTACCTGTTAATTATAAGTCTTGTACTAAAAGTCCGGAAAAAATATCCTTCTTTCTCTTCCGGATGTGATGCCTGTATTTTCTCAAAGTAACTGAAAGCACGCATTTTCATTGCTAATGTTGGAAATTTTCAAAATAAAGAAAAGGGAGAGCTACAGATGCAAATATACACTACATAACGACTTTTCGGGCTCATATGTTTCAAAAGCATGAATGACAGTTCCTTGACCGGAAGTCCAAGGGTTACTACACTACGCCAAGTTAGAGAAAATTCGACCTCAGGATCTGAAAAACAGGCATTTAAAAAAAGGACAAGAATATTTATTTCGCTCAGATTAAGACATTGATAAACTTAATGCATGATAGAATTCGGGCTGCTTATATTGTACATGGCGGACTAGCACGTTTTAATTGAATGGTCGGAAGGGGGGATGTTTTAGAGTTATGTGTTACTTTATAAGGTTTAAAGATAAGATTAAGAATGAATACATAAATGTAAAAAGTAAATTTACAAAACAATGATACTTCATTTGAACTTTAAATATTATCTTTAGACCTTAGAAAGTAACACATAACTTTTAAAACATCCCCCACTCCGACCATTCAATTAAAACGTGCTAGTCCGTCATGTACAACATAAGCAGCCCGAATTCTATCATGCATTAAGTTTATCAATGTCTTAATCTGAGCGAAATAAATATTCTTGTCCTTTTTTAAATGCCTGTTTTTCAGATCCTGAGGTCGAATTTTCTCTAACTTGGCGTAGTGTAGTAACCCTTGGACTTCCGGTCAAGGAACTGCCATTCATGCTTTTGAAACATATGAGCCCGAAAAGTCGTTATGTAGTGTATATTTGCATCTGTAGCTCTCCCTTTTCTTTATTTTGAAAAATTCTTACATAAGCAATGAAAATGCGTGCTTTCAGTAACTTTGAGGAAATACAGGCATCACATCCGGAAGAGAAAGAAGGATATTTTTCCGGACTTTTAGTACAAGACTTATGACTAACAGGTACAAAACCTTGAAAACCCAAAATATTGACAATAATTTTATTAAAAATGTTAATATTTTATTTCTGTTCAGGGAGCTAAAAATCAACTTCCGGTCATGGAATGAAAATCATTCAACCGTTAAATAACCGATTTGGCAAAGTAAAAGATGTCCTAACTTTTTTGGTACATAGTTATATCCCGTATGTAATTTTCACCCCTAAAATTAGGGTGTTGCGTTTCTATTGACGGTGAGTATACATTCATTATCCTCCAAAACACGCTATGTAAACAACTATTCATAACACTAAATGATATAAATGGAACGTAATATTTACTGATCTGATAAAGTGCTACTATCATTTATAAGTTCAATTATTGTCATTTATCTGATAAAATGTGGGGTGAAGCATCATAACAACAGGTAATATCTAATAGACATATATGTCATGTAAAATAAAAGTGAACTTTTTTTAATTCAATATTGCTATATATCAAATTTTATCATTTATATCTTCAGTACAATGCAGATTTGTTAATAATTTCTAATTCAGTTTAAGTTCCGATTTATGAATTTAATCTTCATATTAACATTCTTAAATTTCAACGACTACAATAATTGTACATAACATCAAGGTAAAACTTTTGTGTTTGTCTATTGACACGAGCCCGATCTATCAATGTTAATGTTTACGTTTTTTCCACCTGTATTCGTAAAGGACAATCATAATTCTGTGTGTAGTTTATGAAATATTATCTTTTGAAAGTGGAAGGATGTATGTCAATCAATCACTTCCCGATATTCGTAGTTTTTATATATATATATATATATATATATATATATATATATATATATATATATATATATATATATATATATATAATTTTTAACACATTTAATAACATAAAAGGTTGGTCCAGCAACACATGTATGTAAGTCGTGATATAATATCCAAATTTAAGAAAACGTGAATTTCAAATGATTGTACATGCTCCAATTACCTTATTTTATAAAAAAAAAAAATTGATATTTTACTTACTGAATTTTGATGAAAGGCAGACATTTTAGACATACATTTTGACGCCCTACCACGGTGTTTTAAGTTTCGGTTACACAAGATTAAGTCTACCTTCAAGGTTGAAGTATTTTTAATGGGATGCACACAATGATAATTGTTCGCTTGCGTTCTCTTTTTACCTTGGTTATAATAAGGAAGCAGAAAGTTGATGCATTTATTCAGTACAAAAACACTTTCTAAAGATAGATGGACCTATACTTTTATCATTGTTCTTTTTCTTCATCTTCAAATCCCTCTAATATTTAAACAATAATCAATACATGTTTTGGAATATGATTGGTAGTACCCCGTACTTGTGCAATAAAGTATATCAATTTTCATTTACATCCTACAGAAGGCAATCGGGTACCTTAAAACTTTGTTCATAGAACTTCTTACAGTTAATACGGTAACCAGATCATCTTCTGTAATATTAATGATAATGACTTGTAGATATTCAAATAGTTTTACCTTAGAGATCAGTTGGATAGGGGTTAAAATGATGCTTTTCCCATCAAGTGCTTTTTCTGGTTCTCAGTATTTCTTATACATGTCTTAGAGTGTTCCGATATATCATAAATACACGATTCCAAGTGTTATCAATTTGCTTTACCATTATTTCCTTGCCCGTATAAATTCACGCTTCTTTGTCTTAAAGACTCGGATATAAAAGAAAATTGTTTGCATATATGTTCTTAATCAATGACCACAACTTATTTCTTCTTCATCTCTTCTATATATATATCAAGATTTAATTGAATTATTTATGACTGACTTTTTAAAGAAGTCCACTGTTTGTTTCCAGTTTCATCTGAAATGGTCAGTAATTTAGATTCGCCAATCGTAACCACCTCCTCACTCTCTTTTTTTTTTTTTTTTTTTTGCATTTTATTTATAGATTTTAAAAGTATACGCTTTATTGCTCATCAGTTGGGACTAATGTGCACCTTATACTATCTTGTGACATCTAGTTTTAGTTTCGCTTTATGTGCAACAATGTGCAACGCTGACCTCATTCTGTTTTAAAAAAAAAGAAGGAACAAAGACTTCGTTATTCGTTTTCACAAAACTAGTAAATTAAGTAATTATAATTGTGTGTGCATTTTATATAATATTTAACTACATTTTCCTTGAGGGTGAATGGTTCGTGTCAGAGATTATAAGGTAACATTTCTTATAAATAAAGATCACGACATTTTTTCTGTTATTCGTTAAAGAATTTGAAATAAACTATGACAGATGAAAAGAACATTAACACTAAAGTCAAACTGAGGATGGTTAAGCAAATTCCTCTGCTCAAGTTAACCATTGCCGATTGATATTTTAATACCACTATCAATTTGTTTTACTACAATTGCATAAGAGAATATTTACATGTACAACGTTTTTTCTATACTTTCATTATTTTAAAATTTCTTGTCCTTATGAGGATGTTTATATCTAGCAGGAAGGTATTTCTGGATGAAAGAGGTGATATGACTGGACACTACATCTGCCATATTAGAATTCCTTGACATGGAAATTGTTCTGCTGTGCATGATTTATACAGTATGTAACTAATAAAAAAATCACCCCAAGAAAACCATAGTCAACCTCGGTTGCGCCTCGGTTGACAATGATTTTCTTGGGGTACATTATGGCACGCCGATTGGTTCAAAAGTATTTTCTGCACGACCTTAAACAAAAATTACACGAGTAAGACAAAACTTACACAAAGTGAGGAAAATACACACAAAGTTATTGAAATTTACACAAACTATACAAAAACTACACAATTAACAAAATATTTACACGATTTAATGAGAAAATTACACAAACGTAAAAACGAAAACTGCACAAGTGAGAATATACAACGTCGACATAATATACGACGCATCCTCATTGCGCACATTTCATTAATATTCATTAGAGAACAGCTCAGTGTGGTTTAGATGCTTGAAACATTATAAAACAAGAGGATGAGTAATGTGTTAACAATATTAATCTTTTAAAAAAGATTCAGTCTTTCAGAATTATGCTAGACTCTCAAAAATATGCACAACGTGTTTTACACATGTAAAAATTGACAGGCACACAATATGCATATAAATTAACACCCCCCGATTAAAAATATTCTACACATGTATAGATAACGTAAAAAGGGGGGGGGGGGTGCATATATATTATCAGTTGCGTGTTTTTATGTTATACCTCTATATAGCAATATCTTTTGAAAGTTCAAAACAATGATATTATCATAGTAAAGGCAAATAAATAAAAACAGCGTGAAGTACTACAGGAGAGTTAACAACAAATCAAACTCTTCTCCTCCACCACCCACTGTGTGTACTTTGGTAATAATTAAGGATGTGCGTGACCTTTTCATATCGAGAGATTCCTCCCTGCTGGTTCTGGAATGAAAGACACCTGTACGCTAATCGATTTATAGTAACTGTTATTTGACACATCAATAATACCTTTTGATTGAAGGTTATTAGCAATTCATACAGAGATTTTGAAGCAATGTTGCTGTCATCTGGGTTGTGGAATTTGCCAGATACATTTTTAGAAGTAAATAGTAAAAAAAAAAAAAAAAAAACGAGCAAATAATTGCGCAACTTTAATTTTAATATTGACACGAATATATCATTTTTTGAAATAACTATGAATGTGAAAAAGTAGTACATGTAGTCTTAAATTTTGAACAACGTGTGGTGATTACATAAATACATGAATCCATGAAAATTTAGTAAAATTATGCAGTCGTTTTACTTATGTGAATTTAAGCTTAATTTCTGTCTGTTTAGTGTAGATTATTTTGAATAACTAAAACGCATATAAAGGAGTTAAACAAAATTTAAAATTATAATATGCAGATACATATGTAATATCGCTTTTTAAAGTGAGGGGGCGGGGGGGGGGGGGGGGGGGAATTACCTAAAAAACCTAATTAACGAGCAAAATAAGGTAAAGCGTTCAATCTCGAAAATCCTATTTCGTTGAGGTAGTGAGGCACCTTCAATTCTAATCCAACAACAAAAAAGGGGGCTTTCAGTGGACATTTTACAATGGAAGTAGGTTCTGTTTGCAAAACAACAACACCAAAAAAAAAAAAGGAGAGGGGGCAGCCCCCTCCTGATGCTACGTGCCTGAAATATATTTTTAAGAATTTAAGGGTACATGAAATAGCCGAACGATATCCTGGGATTTGCCTGCGTTCGATCTAACAACAGTTAAAAATTGGTGGTTGGGGTCAATCAGCATGTAAAGAAAATAATTACTATAACAAAATCTATACTCGAAAATAAGGGGGGGGTCTACAGGCCTGATTGACGATTAATTTCGTTTCATAATAATATAATCATGTTTTTCTTTATAATGGCCATATATTTGGGTAAAAGAGTAATTTTGTAAAAAAAACTTAGTGTTTGGAAAATAATTTTAAAAAATCATGAAGTCGAATTCGAAATGTAAACAGAATTTGTTGTCTTGGAAAATATTTCCAAAGATCGAGCTCCATAAAGAACATGAATTATTTGCATTTTTCAAGAGTGAAAAAACGCATTCTATGACACTGCTGTATCCATTCCAATTTTTTTTATTGCATCCTATTTGTAACATTATACGTACAGATGTATTTAGTAAATCACAATGTTTTAAAAGTAACAAAAAAAAAAAAAAAAACACAAAAGCGCATGTACATAAAGCACATAAGAGTATATATATTCTCCTTTTATCTGGTCCTTTTTATTAAAATGAAAACATTTATCATGTAATCGCCATTATGAATGAGGGTAATGCTTACAAGAAATGTCATGTTTTTTTTAATTGAGTAGTTTATAACTGAAAATATGAGATTTCATGGAAGGAATTCATAACAAAGTAGGCTAAAGATCTCCAACCAAAACTGATATCCTGATTTTTTATAAATATGAATACATGTGTTATTAGAATGAAATATTTTTTTTAATGTTTGACATTAGATCTAAAAACATGCTGTGTACATCTAAGGTAATCCCAACTTAAGTTTAAAAAAATATATATCCAGCCAAATGAATATAGGTATATATAATGTCCTATTCCGAGTGGTAAAGAAAATAAAATAGGTACAAATGAAAAGTACCAAAATTAATTCTACAGCCTAATGATTATAATCAGCAATAATTCTGCCAATTTCATGAAGAATCAACTTTATTAATCGTTTGTTTATGCAAGTGTTATTATATTTATACAAATAATTTCCGTTAAAGTTGTATCTATAAACTAGAATTTTTCAAAAGCTATAGAGAGTTTATTTAAATAAAAAACAAAACAAAATAATTCTAACATTTTTTTTTTTAGAAAATCAAGATCCTAGTCAGCCGTTCTGTTTATCGTCAGGTACTTTTAGTTCGAAGTCGAGTGCATCATATGCAATGTTTTTTTCCCGCATTATACGATTCCTTCTTGTCACAATTTTTTTCCGGCATCAAAATAATACCTCCATATATTGGTTAGGATCTCGGTCAATATAAGATCAAAGGCCTGAAGGGCCACAATGGCGCCGCGCTTTAGATATGGCATTGAAACTGTTAAATTACTGGCATGTTTAAAAGCATGCATATGTCTATAGAATTATATAGCTTAGTTGTAAATAAAATATCCCGATTTGAGCATTTATGAAATAAAAACATTCAACTCATTAATCCAAGATTCTTCTGACTCGAACCCCTGCTTTTATATTGTTACTCGTGCAGGGGTTAGTATATAGGTCCCTTGTGCTAAACTTGAGATTCCAATTTTAGGGGGTTTGAAATTACTTTTCCTCTCTCTTAGGCCTAATTAATATAATTAACTTGTGCAATGTGTACTAAATGTACAGAAAGATCTACACTGCCTTCGATCACTTTATTTTATGTAATGAAAGTTGTTTTCCGAGATTCCTTGACATGTACATAACTATCGTTTCTTTTTCTCTTTGTTCAATTTGTTCCTGCTGGTCCTGATAACAATCTTGTTCTATCGGAAGCCATTTCAAATTTTGATTTGTCAAAACAATCCCAGTTAATACGCCAGTTTCGAGATTGTAACTCTTCTGTGATAGAGGCGCAAAAAGTATCTATTTCGGCATGGAGGTGGGACAGGTTGTTTCTGTATACAAACGTGCATAAATAAATGAACGATATTTATGGATTTTAAAATTTATTAAATGTTGTAAAAAGATAATGATATTAAGCTGTGATGTATTTGATGATTTTATCAAGTTCAACTATGCATATTTACAAATTTACTTTAAATTATAGGTACTTGAAAACGAAATAAACGTCATAGTCTTAATAAAAAGTAACTGATTTTCTTGATTGTACAAACAAAAAGTTTGTGGGTTTTTTGAAGTTGTAATAAGGAAGAGAATCAATGTGTCATTTAGATCGCCTACGTACAATGTTCAGATGCATGTGTACCGTTTTTATTAGAGGTCCAAATAGCTTCCCTCGTCTGAAAAGTCTCACATCAACCGACATTTTCTTTTTTGTTACGATTTTTTGCTTTAAAAAATGAGGTCTTTAAATTAATTCGGTTATTCTCGAAATGTAGAGTGAATCCCGACAATCATGTAGTTATGATAAACCAGTATATCGATGATACAATGTATCCAATATCAAACATTTGTCCCACCTGTTTGTTTACGCGGCAACGAAACTCCCCTTCCCAACGAAAGAGCGCACCAAGGGAGATAATCTCGAAACTTGCGTATTGTTTACACCTGGACTGATAATTTACTTGCCTACTGCACATAGCCCTCGGCATTGTTTACGTAGATAAAGCTTGGGTTGTAACTGGAAATTAAAAGTACAACCTAATTTACGAACCAAATCCGGAAATCGGCCGATAAGCATGACCCGCCATGTCATAAAAATAATCAGGTTAAGGGTCGAAAAGTAACCCGACGAAAGTGGGTGAGTTGGCAACTATCTACAGAACTGTTGAAATTGTATGATTTTCAAGCAATTTATGGAATAAACGCAAAAATTGGCATGTATATTCCTACGCCAGATACATGAAGGTCTTGGTTCGAGTACTATATTATTTGGCGCATGAAGAAAGCGGTGAGCAGTCAGAGATTTCCTCATAGCTAGATGTACAAGCTAAAGCTCGACGCCATAAAAAACGTAATATTTTCGAAAAACTTTGAAGTATTCTCACATATAGATCACATGGAAACACTTCATTTGTTCGATTGGCATTAGCTAGAAATCGGATCGAGTTTTAGCAAAGAAATAAAGGAGCAAAGTAAAGCACATGCCATCGTCAACGCCATTTTCTATTCTCGATTACATCCAGCTAAGAATACATGAAGAGATAAAGAGTACAGAAAACCAAGAACACGATGAATATTCTATGTGCATAATAATGATATGCGCAGCTGTATGCGCAGTAAAATTGTTTGTGTAATTTTTAGTTTCCTCTGCTCGTGCAATTTTTTATTTTTGTTTGTGCATATTATACCCCTAAATCGTGTAAAAAATTTCGGATTCGTGTATTTTTCGTTATGTTTGTGTTAAAATATTTCAAACTATGTGCAATTTTTACCTATACGTGCAATTTTATTTTACTCGTGTATATTTTTCATCTAGTTCGTGTATAAAATCTTGATCGTTGTGCAGAAAATACTTTTGAACCAATCGGCGTGCCATAGTACATGACAAAAATTTTCATTTTCAATGCCACTCTCAACTACATTCAATATTTATACAATAGCTCGAGATGTTGGCAGTTCCTATCATATAAATTTGATAATTTTTTAAAACATTATTTCTTGCACTTGATTTCAAAAAAGAGGAACATACGAGGGCTGTTCAATAATAATGTCCTCGGTGCTCAGAAAGAAGCAAAAGACGCTTTTCAATGATTTGGTCTTTAGAACTCATTTTTAGGTATGACCCTTAGTATACTGGAAAATGACAGATCCAATAATTTCCTGGACTTGTTTCTTCCCTCTGAAAGGTGTATTTTTCAAGTTTGGAAAAAGAAACAAGTCAAACGGTCAAAGATCTTGCGAATATTGTTAATGTGAAAAAACACTAACTTTCTGTCTATCCCGACAACTCCTTTACTCTTCAGGGCATGTGGGTTTGGACGCTGTCATGAAGAAATTCAATATAGTGGATTCCACATTTTGGGTCCTTCCTCTAATAAGCCTTTAGATTTTTTTGCAAAAAAAATTGCTTTCTAGACTCCTCCAGAAATTAAACTGTCTCCCCGAATACGTACTTGAACAACAATACCACTAATATTTTAAGAAAATTGCATATAAGTCTGTCTTTGTGCTCTTGCATACCTTTGCTCTTGTCAGACCTTTGCTATTTTTATCAAGTACATCTTATGGTTAATTTTGTTTTGAGGGTTTTAAGCAATAGATTTATGTTCCAATATCTGTTCGAATATAAAACAAACGTGGATAACTACAGTTAATCATATTTTAAAATAATTGTTAAGACTTTCGAACACGCTGTCGTTTTCACTCATTTTTCAAAATATAGGGTGACCTTTGGGTACCAAGCTTTTTTACCGTCAAACATTTCTTTAAAAAAAAATAATAAGTACTCCCGATATGATGTCTATCAAATTTGTTATGTGTCTTGAAGTCAATCATACATCATCAAATATTATTTGTTGTAATTTGGCGAACAGTACATAAGTTGTTAAATTTTTTTTTTGGCAAGGACGGTACCCATTTTTGATGCCCATTATATAATTTTTTATCATTGAAATCCACCTGCTCATTTGTCTACAAAACAGGCATTGATTGCTGTAAATGTAACATATTTCAGTGAATATTTCTTTGGAATTTTTAACGAGTTTTACAGCAGTTTTAATGAAGCTTTTATTTTCACTCTAGTTTACTGATTCTTTACCATTCATTTATAATGCAGTGTCTCGAATAGCCCTTGTTTCCCAGCTTCTCACGATGAAACTATGTGATGAAAAGTGGTCACATAAACTGTTATAAGTTCATTAAAGATTCACTAATGGGAGAAAGTCAAGTTTAATGTCATATGATATCTGTATTGTATGTCATACAGTTAAGGACATTATTGAATTATTGAACAGCCCTCGTATAGATTATTTTTACTTAATGTTATATGAAAACCCTTTCCTTTTTTATCGTTTTTATTTTAATTAACACTTGCATTTATGTGGCCTTAATATATGATTAAAGTGATACAACTGTAATTAATATAGAAATAATTGTAGTAGTGTGATAGATACCATTGCAATATATCTCCAGTTTTAATACTAGGGATGCTAAAATATTCCTTTTCCTAAGTCGAACATTCGATTGCATTTTTCGAACGATAGTCGACTATTCGGATCATTTTTTTTTTTTGCTGAAAAAATAATCTCATCGATAGCGTATTTATAAATCAAGACCCTTTTTATGTAAAAAACTAACATCAAATGCCTGTATTGCACACCGACTTTCAAGAGATTAGAGATAAGATAATGAAATGAAATAGATTTACACCAGCAGTTCTCCAAAATGTGCGAATTCTCGTTCACATTCGTTGGTCTGTATATTAGTCAGTTTTATTCTAGTAAGCTTACAGAATTTTCATGCAGCACGGTGTCTTTAGCTCACCTGAGCCGAAGGCTCAAGTGACCTCTTCTGATCAAAATTTGTCCGTTGTCTGTCGTTGTCGTTGTAGTCGTTGTTGTTGTCGTTGTCGTAAACTTTTCACATTTTTATTTTCTTCTCAAGAACCACTGGGCCAATTTCAACGAAACTTGCCATAAAGTATCCTTGGGTAAAGGGAATTCAAGTTTGTTCAAATGAGGGGCCAAGCCCTCTTCTAAGGGGAGATAATTATGAATTAATGAAAACTTTATGGCATCTTTTAAAAATTTTCTTCTCCAGAACCATTGGGCCAGGAAATTTGAAACTCAGGTTGTGTAGATTCAAGTTTGTTCAAATCATGATCCCCGGGGGTAGAGCGGGGCCACAATGGCCGATCACAGGTTTACTTAGGAATATATTGGAAAAATCTTTAAAAATCTTTTCCTCCAGAACCACTTGGCAAGGAAAGATGAAACTCATATGGAAGCATCCTCAGGTAGTGTAGATTCAAGTTTGTTCAAATTTTACCCCCAGGGGCTTTTTTTGATGATCAGCCGTTGTGGCCCCTATTCCCGGGGTCATGATTTGAACAAACTTGAATCTACACTACCTGAGGATACTTCCACATGAGTTTCAACTTTTCTGGCCCAATGGTTCTGGAGAAGAAAATTTTTAAAAGATTAATTTTTTATTAAATCATGATACCTTTTTATTAACAATTTATAAATCTTTATAAATATGTGTTTCAGTTTATATCACATCCAGTAACACTAGGCTGTGATGATTCTGTGGCCACCGTCAAATTTGTGGAGAAATGTCCAGTCAGCAGCAAAGAATGGACAGCCAAAGCCGCAGATAAAGCCTGTCATGTCGTGAATCAATCGTGTACCTCTCCTGATAATTTCCAGTATCACTGTCTTATGAATCCATCAAGAGATTCCTACGTAGAAGTCTGCGCTCCACCACGAAATTTAATAGGTATAAAAGTTCTTGCCTTTCCACCAAATCATAATCACAACATCCTCCCTTATACGCAAATCAACACATATGTTCCCGTTTGCATCGTTCTGCATGCATTTGTGCAGTACATAAAATGTGTGAAATGTAATGAGATGGGGTTTTTTTTGTGAGTAACTGTATATTAAGTTTTATCCTGACCACTGGATAACATCATTACCCATGTACTACATGTATCATTGTGTGAGATATTTTAGTTCTAGGTCATTAAAAGATTCTTTCTCCAAGGGCGCCCTTTAGGCGATCGCGTCTGCGAGACAGAAGAAAAGGACATAGGGACAGCTGTAGAGAAAATGCTCAATGCAGGAATGTCTTTAATTTTGGACTTTAATCAACAAAACTGGTTCAGATGTCAGATGACCTGACAGACTAACCATATTAATTATAAATCACCTGCACAGCAAAATTCTAATGAAATGGTAGACTTTCTGGGTAGATCATAAATATTGTTTCTGATTCACGCGCTCATTCCCTTTCGTCGCCCGCGTGGCGCAGTGGTAAGAGTGTCTGCTCTACATTCGCGAAGTAAGGAGTTGATCCTTATGTCACAGGTTCGAATCCCACTGTGGGAAGTGGAGACTAGTCCTTCGGATGAGACCGTATTAAGCGAGGTCCCGTGTCGCATTAGATGCTGGCATGAAAAAGATCCCTCACTGCTCAATGACCTTGAGTGTCGAATGTAGGACAAAATTTGTAGCTCTCCACCGGAAAGTGTTGGCGTATCCATATGAGTGAAAAATTCTCGAGAGGGACGTTAAACAACATACTCTCTCTCTCTCTCTCTCTCTCTCTCTCTCTCTCTCTCTCTCTCTCTCTCTCTCTCTCTCTCTCTCTCTCTCTCTCTTTATTAAGTCAAATGCTGTCAGATGTCCTTCAAACGAATTGTTAGACCATCATTTGTTATTTTAAATGCTATTAAGACGAGGAGCACACTGCGAATGTGACCGGTCACCAGGGGATGTTCACCCCTCCATGGTACCTGATCCCACCTCTGATGATTTGGAGGTCCATTTATGCTGTGTTCCTGATTTGCATTGTTTAAAGGAATTTTTTTTAACTCGTTTACTGTTCGAAATCTTATTTTAATTTCATTTCAATGTGTCAAAAGGTAATTTTCGAGATTAAACTCTAAAGAACACACAACAATATAATTACTTAATTGTGATAAGTAAAAAAAAAAAAGAAGATATTTCACTCATGAAAAGTAAAATTCAAGGTATAATATTTTACCCCTTGAACTTTAGGTGGTTTATGTCCAGAATTTAATTTGTTTGGATCACGGATACAGAATAATTACAATGTGGAATCGGATTGTAAACAATTTTCATCTCCATGCCCTACATATTACAGATCAACAGAAGTTTACAAATGTGAGTATATCTTAATCTATTTAATTCATAAAATAAATTTTCATTGTTTCATTGATATCACATTTCAAGTAGAGAATTTCGAATAGATCGGGTCTTTCTTAACAGATACAAAATTCGGTTTAGCTTGTACTAGACAGATAAATACGAAAGTCCAGAAGGCTCATTCGAGATTCGAGTTTCAAAATACGAGATTCGAAATTCGAAAATCGAAATTCGAGTTTCGTTTCGTGATTCAAGATTCAAACGAACCAATCAAAAGTCGGTTTAAGTTTCAATTATTCCTCTTTGTTAAGTTTTTACCATCAAGAAATAGTTGAATATATTCAATTACAATGCAAGAAAGAGTGTTATATATATCAGAACGAATTTAAAGAAATATACTTCAATTTATATTGTAGCTTCTTTAAGATTAAAAAAGATTTATATATTAGAAGTTTATATTTATTGGATTGTCTTCTTTGTTGACAGGGTTGATATTAGAATAAATATCTTACCATAAAGTGCAAAGTGTCTAAAGATTAACAATGACCCCACCCCCACACCGCACATTTTTCCAAACATAATTTTTTTTTATGAATGAAAATGTACTTAAGGTCGGTTGCCACCCATATATTTTGGTGCAGTATAGTCAAAGAAGGGTTAGTGCTAGTGTATGAAAAATCAGAGTACTGTGAGTACTGAAAGACGGTGGCATGAATGATTTTGTTTGTTTAACGTCCCTTTCGAGAATAAATTTTGAGCAGCAAGAGTTTTACTGCGGCATGGGATCTGAATCAAGGGCGTGTCCCGCAGTTGAATCCGCGACGTAAGGATGGACTCCTTCAGGTCCGTGACTCCAGAGCAAACCTGCTTTGGGATCTGAATCAAGGGCGTGTCCCGCAGTTGAATCCGCGACGTAAGGATGGACTCCTTCAGGTCCGTGACTCCAGAGCAAACCTGCTTTGTCAAATGGCGACTGCATTCAATAAGATAAAATCTTGTAAGAATTTGTAGAATGATATGGAAATTACAAAAGTTTATTTAATTTTTTCACAATACATGTACGTGTATTTTAATTTATAATTTTTTATTTTTGTACTAAAAAGTAAAGTGTTGTTAACTCTCACTGTGATTTAAAATTTTCACTACTCTTAAGTACATTTTTCATCAAAAAAAAAAAACCAAAATTCAAATAGATAATGCATAAATAAATAAATTATTGTATTGTGTCGCCTTAAGACACACGGATGATAATGACAAAGTATCTAAAGCAGCGTCACGTTTCTTCTTTGCTAAAAACAAGTTGGATAACTCCATTTAAATTAAGGAGTTTCATTGATGCACATAGTTGAGTTTCCCTCAGGAACCAATCTCGCGCTCAAATGGGACCTTGTGAAGATTTATTTGTATTAAAGTTATGGACAATATTTTAATTATCATTCAAGTAAATCGGCTATCTTATATATTGGCGGACAAAAGTTACTTATCTATTTCATTCCTATTTTGAAATTCTATCGTGCCTCTAATAAGATTTACCCTTTAAAAATGAAGCGAGAAATTTTGATAACGGCAAATATCAGGCATCAGGCTTTGTGTCCATCAACGAAATGTCTTTAAAATATATAAATTGAAAGTATTTCTTAACTATCTACATTTCATTTTTAAACATCGAAACAAGTCTACATTCATTATTTTGACTCTGCAAAAATATCAGCTAAGGTCCCCGTGTGTTTACGTGTTGTTTATTCATAGCCTAGACCAGCAGCAATAGCCTGTGGCTATATAAAGCCACCTTCTAAAAAATTAGGTACTGAATAAAGTTCGACCTCCCTCTCAACTTCCACACCTCCAAGCAGGATTTTCGGGTTTGGGCAGTTTTTTTTGTCAGTTTTTTCATACTTGAAATAATATTTTTCTCTGGCTGCGATGCTACGTCTCTGTGATTATTAGTAATGCCAGTTCCACAATGGATAGAGTTTGTAACGTGGTATTTGAAAGTGGCCAGTGACCAAGTTTGTGAAATCAAGAATCACCTAGCCCCTTAAATACGTAAAGATAATGATTTCTCTTTGTTCAGGCACATAGGAAATAATAACTTTTTAAAAATCATTGTAATTAGCCCCCTCCCTCTAAAGACAGGGGTTTATCATGGTTATTGGACGTTATTTTGCAATTGACACAAGCATAAAGTTCCTGTTTTCTATAGTATCTTTTATCGGTTAAAATGCTTTTTAGTGTACCCATAAAAAACTTGAAAGGCAATGATAGTACTGATAAAGAAAGATCGCGTTCGCTTTCCAAATGGAGGAAAGACATAATAAAGAAGTTTTCAATTACTTATCTTGGTCTAAGGCTTAGATTTCTCGAATTGATTAAAAACTATATATACAATCCATACATGTACTTGAATTTATTCTATTGCATATCAAATTTTGTCGCATATCTTCGGTGATTTTCTTTGATCTTTCTGTGATGATATATCCCATGTCACATATGCGATAATACTTTCCAAGCCCCTTCATATATCACTGCAGGAGGCAGAAATCAGGTCAATTTTTTTATTGAATTTTGACACTCTCAATGAAATTTACGTCTTCAGATATGCGACAAGTTGCTTACATCATAGATTGCCTCGTACTATTGGTTATATCATTTTCATGGCGCCCGAGATTTCCACGCCCCATGAAAACGATATTATCAATAGTACGAGGCATCTATGATGCAACCTATACGTAAATAAGTCTAAATTAGCTGCAGAAATGTAGCATTACGGCTTTATATTTAGTCTCTGACCATAGCGTTATGCACAAAGACTGAAATATACTAGTAAAACATATAAATCAAAAGTTCAACAATCAAGTCTCACTGCAGAGATGTACAATTGTTTATAAATTTAATGAAATATAATATACCCTTGAATTCCTGTGCAATGTAAAGACGATCTTTAATATTTCATAATAATAACAATTTTCTCCCTCATCAATGTTATAATTTAAAAAAAATTCGATCGACCTACTTAATTCGCAATTCAACGATAAGACCACATAATATTTATATATATACGTATTTACTGTTTTATTTAATGAGAAGAACAAGATTTTATATATTTTTTTTTCCAAAATGTAATCTAAATTTCATTTTTATTTCGGTTTGATACATAAAACAAATTTTTCTAGCATTATCATTTTAGTAAATGACCCATTTGTTATAAATAAATCTAACGATTTCTTGATACTAGTAGTAAAACATAATTAAGGGAGTAATTAAATGTTGAACCCACTTTTGATTGGTTAGTTTGGATCTTGAATTTCGAAACTCGAATCTCGAATGAGCCTTCCAGGCTTTCGAAGATAAAGGAATAGTTCCGAATACTGATGTGTTTAAATAAAAATTAGATGCCACTCGCTGTAAAGTGATATTCAAGCCAATCAAAATTCTCTTTCCCAGCCAATGTGATTTATCAGTTAATACTTGAACTGACCTAATCATTCTATTAATCATATATTTTTCTCTACAAGTTCAATGGGATATATCGAGGCGACATATGAATGAAAGTATAACATACATTGTTAATTGATAAAGCATCGACAATATATCTGAATTCTACGAAACGCTATTAGGGTAAATCTGTGGGATAAGAATTAAAAGGCGTTATAACGCCTTTCAAATAGGCCTAATATCGCGAAAAGGGCCTTCTAACGCCTTTCCAAAAGGTGTAATAACGCGAAAAAAGGCGTTATTACGCATTTTTAGAAGGCGTTATTAAGCCTTCTTAAAAGGCGTTATTACGCCTTTCCAAAATTGATTTTATTTAGTGATAAAGTATACAAGCTCATATATATTGATGGAATAATACTTAGCACATGTACACTGTAAAGGAAGTTGAAATGACCGGTGTCGCATAATATTTGGTCCGCCTCGTTTAAATGTCCGGCGTAAAAATCACTCGGATATTCTTGTATTATGTTAATAATTATATGAAAAAATGAATCAAAACCAATTTTACTTATGCAATATTAGTTTTTTTTTATATTCTTGAACCTTTTGTAAGGACGTTATATGCCTTTAGGAAAGATGTAATAATGCATTTTGTCAAGGCGGAATAACGCCTTTTGGATATGCGTAGAAACGCCTTTTGAAAAGGCGTATTAACGCTTTTTTTGGTGTTATTACGCCTTTTGGAAAGGCGTGTTAACGCTTTTTTCGCGTTATTACGCCTTTTGGAAATGTCTTATATCGCCATTAAATTTTTTCCCCATAGATTATTCCTAATAGGCTTTCGTAGATTGATTGATTGATTGTATATTGTTTAACGTCCCTCTCGAGAATTTTCACTCATATGGAGACGTCACCGGTGAAGGGCTTCAAATTTAGACCTATACTCGGCACTCAGGGCCATTGAGCAGTGAGGGTTCTTTATCGTGCCAGCGCCTACCGTGACACGGGACCTACGTTTTTAAGGTCATATTCTAAAGACCCATGACTTTCACTTCTGATGCCGAGGGCTTGGCGAAGGAACAGTCGCTACCTATTTTAACGTCTTAGATTTGACCCGGCGCCGCGAACGAGAATCGAACCCGGGCCTCCCGATCACGAAGCGAACGCTCTAACACTAGGCTACCGTGAACGGTAGGCTTTCGTAGAATTCGAATTAAAGGCAACGGAAAATTGTTTTCTTATTCTCACATGGAAGTTCTTGAAAAAAAATCTAAGAATATAATGACAGGTCAGCTTATAAAGAGCACAATTAGTGCCAATCGGAATGTCATCAGTTTTTTTTTTTTTTTTTTTTTTTTTGCAAAACTCATCTCCGACAATTTTATAAATGTTCTCAACGTAGAACTCCAGCCTTCTTATACTGCTATAAATAGAGGGTGGTTCCATTATTCACATAATTTTGTTCCATTATTCACATAATTATGCATGTACATGTTCTTGCTGTAAGGATATAATTAGTGTTTTTTATCAAGCTGGTTATAATTAAATTTAAAGGAACCATTGGTTTAAAAAAAATTGTAAAGAGCGGAACAGTATAAGCATGTTTATACTGATTTTTATGCCCCCGTAAACGAAGTTTCGGGGGTATATAGTTTGTCGTGTCCGTCCGTCTGTCTAGCTGTCTGTCTGTCTGTTTTTCTGTTTGTCCGCAAAAACTTTAATCTTGCCCATAACCTTTGATTTAATGGAGCTTTGACTTCCTTAATTCACATGTGTATTCATTGTGACAAGATCTCTTTTTTGAAGTACTTTTACACAAAAATTCCAAAATTTTTACTTTGGCCATATCTTTTGATAGTAGATACCAGGACTTTTATTCTTTGCATATGTATTCTTTGTGCCAAGACCTTTCATTGGATACTAACAACTTTGACCTTTTGACCTTGACCTTGGAGATTTCCGTACTTTAGAAAAAACTTTAACCTTGACCATAATTTTTGAATGGTAAGGGCAAGGGCTTTCATACTTCCCATATGTAATCCTTGTGAAAAGACCCTTTATTCGATACCAAAAACTTTTACCCTTTGACCATGACATAGGAGTTTGACCTACTTTAAAAAGCAAACATTGACCATAACGTTAAAAGGGTTAGAGCTATAGTGCTTTTATACTTTACATATTTAATCCTTGTGACAAGACCTTTCATTTTATATCAAGAACTTTGACCGTTTGACTTTGACCTTGAAGTTTGACTTACTTTTTAAAATTTTTAACCTTAAAGTTTGCCATTTCTTTTTAACGGTTTGGGATAAGGCTTCCATAATTCACATATGTATTCTTTGTGGCAAGACCTTTCATGGGGTATCAACAACTTTGACCTTTTGACCTTGGTCTTGAAGATTTCCATACTTATAAAAAAAACTTTAACCTTGGCCATAACTTTGGAACGCTGTGGGCAGTGCTCTCATACTTCACATATGTAGTTCTTGTGAGAAGACCCTTTATTGAATACCAAGAACGTTGACCCTTTGACCTTGGAGTTCGTCTTACTTTTAAAAAAAAACCTTGACCATAACTTTTGAAGGATAAGGGTTGGTGCTTTCATGCTTTCATACTTTTAATATTATTACTTGTGATCAGACCTTTCATTTGCTATCAAGAATTGTTGACCCTTTGACCTTGAAGTTTGACCTACTTTTTATTTTTTTTAACTTTGGCCATAACTTTTGAATGGTTAGGGCTAGGGCTTCCATACTTCACAAATGTATTCTTTGTGGCAAGACCTTTTATTGAATACCACCGAGACCTTTTGACATTGGGAGATTTCCGATTTCTGCACTTATGAAAAAACTCTAATCTTGGCATACATGTACTTTCATATTTCACAATTGTATTTCCAGTGAGAATACCCTACCATGGGTACCAATATATCAAATTTGCATTCAAGAAAAGTTTAATCTTCGCTATGTTGCTATACTGGGGCAACAGTGTTTCACAGACACATCTTGATTTTTTATTTATTTCATGCAAAATTGATGTCTATACTGAAACAGAGAATATCACAATCTGCTTTTTAGAGAGTGGTTAAGTCTATGCCTCTAAATTTACTGATACTGGATTTTAAAAAAAACAATTCTTACTTTTTGTTTTTTTAATGTTATCATTACGGGTTTGGGTTTAGGGAAATGTAAAACTAAATACCACAAGTCAAAAAAGATTTTACCAGGTTTTGTTTACATGTAATGTATTCATTTCAGACCAGGACTGTTTTATATCTTTGAGTAAGACACAATCAACAGAAAGGTAAACCTACATTTATATTATGGTATAATTTATATTTTTATTATACATTGATCCAATTATGTACTTTTTTATACGAGGCTGTTCGAAAAGTTTGTAAACAACATTCAACTGGAGCATGCAAAGGTGAGAAATATGTTCTTACAACGTTTTAAAAAGATTTCATTAAACTTTTTGGTCTACTTACATTCATTCCTTGGTACTTGAGACCATTGTAACTATGGAAATTTATTCAACCTTTCTGCGCACGCCTACAACAAGGAGGAAGAAGTATTTAGCAATATTTTCGTTATGGGCCTACTGAAATTATTTTTACTCTCTCCATACAAATAGAGTTTTTACTAGGTTCTGAAATCTGTAATTTTCTGAAACCTAATACTTTTAGGAATTTAACAAAATTAACACGGGTCATGCAAAAATTCTACGTTTGTCAATTTTCCCCTTTGTGCGTCACAGAGTGTATTCGATTAAAACAACTCGTGTCGCACTAGTGTTAAATACGCGCATGCTCACTGATTGAACTCTAGTGATCTAAATAAAACATCTCGTGTTGTATAGTGTTTATTTAAATATGGCGGGAAAACAGTATACGTAGGCTTTATTCCCTGTATATCTGGTTTGAATAGGAAAAACAATTGATTAATAAACAATTTCCAATTATCAAATAAGGAATAACTGATAATTTCTAACAAAACCTCAAAGCTGAGAAATTAATTGTTCAACATTACATAATGTATTTTTTTTTTTTACAGATACAGCATGTATATTTTAGATTATTTATCCTTGCAATATTGTTTAACAAGTCAATACCTCCTCTTATTAAGATTAAAAAAAAGTAGAATAAGAACGTCTTCAAAAATATACAATGTAATAGCATTAATTATGATAGTTGCGTATCATCTTTTTGGAAAAAGGGGGGGGGGGCCACAAAAAAAAACTTGACAATAAAAAAGACATTACTCATACTAGAAAATCCTATTTAGTTGGAGGAGGGGGATGTAGGTCCCATTTTCTTCAGCACCAAAGAATGGAGGCGTACAAGGCGAGGACAATCTCCCGCTCTGAGAAAAGACATTTCTCAATTCTAAAGGTTACGTTTTTCAAAATTATATTATTTATATCATCTTTTACACATTTAATTCTGTATTTCATTGTTTTAATATTTTATTAATACTATATTCTTACTTATGTTTTTAAGATATGTGAAAACAAAAAAGAAAAGGCTTCACGTATGATTCGAACTCTTTCCATATAGTGGAGTGACAAGACCGTCAAAATTTTGAATTTAATGTACCACCCTACCCTACGGCTGATTTGTACTTTTTTGGTCAGATATATTGTCAAGCAATAATTTTTGCCCGGTCGTAGAAAATTCTATGGTCAAATTTTAAAATAATAGGAGATTAAAGATCAGTGAATGAAATATGACCATAACATTGAACATAAAAGATAAAGATCAAGGAATTAATTAAAATAATGTAAATTTGTATAGGAATTTTATTTATGCTGTGAATATATTGATTTCATGGAAAAAGAACGAAAATTTGAATAACTATGCCCGTTTGTCTGTCTGTAAGATTAAAGGTTTGTCTTAAGTATTTTTAATTAAATTTTAAAGGTTTAATGCAAATGTACATGTTATTCTTAACGTAACAATCACGTAGTATTTAGTACAGAAAAGCAAAGAAAAATAAAAAAGAACAAAATCACCCTTCATCACCACCCACCCACCACGCCCCCCCCCCTTTTTTTTAAAAACGGAATATGACGAACTTTCGCAATTTGTTGTTCAGATGTGGATTCATTATTTTTAAAGATATTGTTTGACGCTCTTTTTTAAGCAATTTAAGTAACTTACATAAAAATTCTGCTCTCACACTGGATTTCGGTATTCCAGTCTCATCCAAAGGACAACAAAATATTTAAAGTCTTAATATTTTTCATAAGCTGATTTTTTGTATCATGTAATGTTGTCTATGATTCGAAAATTTATGGATAATCTAATGAACTTTCGACTATCCGTTTACTCATAAATTCAGCGGATTACATTGTAAGGATTTAGGGGTTTCGAAAGACTTTTAACACGTATTGATGATGAAGTTGCAATTCTTGGAAAGGGGTGAAGCGGTCAAATTAATGGCGTAACACATTTGCTAGAGCTGTAATCTCTAACCATTGGATTACATGTATATCTTTGTTCTTAACTTTGCAAGAATATGTTTTATTTGAAAACTTGACTGTAGAAACTTTGCAAAAGAGCTAAAAGTAATGATAGCGGATCTTTTAAAAAGATACTTTAGTTGGGTAGATAAATAATTAGAACAGTGCAAAATGTTTATCACTATGCAATATCCAAATAAAATGCATGTCGTGCATGGTTTTTTTTTTACCTGCTTACTGAAAACTTTATATCTTGATTTTTTTAAAGCCTTACATTTATCAGATGTACTGAAAAGAATGTTATTTAATTTTGGCAGTATGTAAATGATGAAATGCGTAAACAAACTGTGTATCCCTTAGTTTATAAAATTTTACAAAGTCCATGTGTTTGCTATAGAAAACATGAAATATATTTCCGACGGAAACATGAAATAATTTCTTTAAAGTGAAGGAAAGTTCTTCAGATGAGATACTAAAATTGTTCTTCTCTTCTCTTTCATAAAAATTAGTTCTGCGTTAATCTGTATAGCTTGTGACGCAGAAAGGCAATATCCAATCATGCAAGATATCTTGTTCAAACAGAAATGTAAAAGAAAAGTTACATGCTTGTCCTTTAGGTATTTTTTAAATTGAAAAAAAAAACAACTTTCAAATGCTCATTAATTCAAACTGAATATTAGCCTTATTTTATTAAAAGTAGTTCTAAGCTAATTCAATATTCTTAACAATAGTCTGATCGATGTGGCCACTATCACAGGCATGATGGTTTTAAAAAATAAAGTCCGCGTTTTCGTGAATGTTGCAGAATAACCTAATGTTGTTTGAAAGATAAAAGCCGAGGCTTTTATATGTCAGACAACATTACGAGATCGAGGAGGTTATTCTGCATCATGCACGAAAACAAGGACTTTATTTCTATTCTGCTACATGTAGTTAGCAGCCCTAAAATACGACTGATCGTTTTTCTATAGAGAATCGAATTAGGTCACCATGCTGCTATAACGCTGTTCCATTTAACACCAGAGTGTAAATTTATCTGTTTACCTGTGAATAGAGTGCAGACAATTTGAGCTTTTGCTGCATTAAAATAGCCTTTTATTGTTTGTAACTTAAAAAGATTAATCTTTCTGAATATACAATAACAAAATCAGTTTCCTATTTAACAACTTTATTACCAAAATCACGGAGTTTAAATATGGCGGAGGGAGGTTCGGGAAACAGCCCCGCTTGGCCTTAGAAGCCTACATTCATCAGCCACTTTCTGCAATATACAGTGTTTAAATTGCAAAAGACGACACATCAATGTGGTTTAAATACGTATTTCATTCTTAAGTCAAATGTACATTTCAACTGCACAGGTTTTATACGTGTTTCTGATCTGATAATTATTTGATGACGTTCGTGATTTATTGGAGAATAATGTCCGCGGCTTTGAAGTAGCCAATAATCGTAGTAGAATTCTATATAATTTTATCAGTTTCCGATATACAAAACATTTTAGATCAAGTAAACTGAATACAAGACTTAAGAGTGAAGATATCCTTAAAACACGTGGGGATTATGTGATCACAAATCATTGTCTCATATATATCTTTCTAACACTTAAGTAAATATTCATTTTTTTTTTTTTTTTGCATGAAATAATTGTGGTGAGTTTTATTGTTGAAAGTAACACAGTTTCTATAACAAAACATAGGATTATTAAAAGGGGGGGGGGGCAAATAATATTACAAATTAATCTAGCTTGTAAATTTAGATACCCGTAACTATCCTATTACACAGAAACTAGTATTTTTTTTATTCAATGATTTATCTTTAAAAAAGAAAAATATCAGCAAGTAAAGTAAACGACTGAAATACTCCCCCTTTTTTTGTCACTTTCATCGCAAGTTTAAGGGGGATGTCCAGCCACCTTTAGTGAAGTGAGAACAAAATGTAAACATTTCTTCAAATGGCTAAAATACATTATATTTTGATCAAATTTTAAGTCCTTATGATAAAGATACAATAAATATGCATAACTGAATGCATGTTGTGTATATATAATCTATACTTTTGCAGAAAAATGCTTTTGATATGCTCTTTAGAACTGCGCAGCTACAGAATTCAATAGAGCCTTAAAAAATCCAAAAAAATATGCAAACTGTGCATTAATGTTCTATCTACAACCATTTGTTGAGAAAATGTCTAAATTTTGCACTTTTAAATGATAATTTTAAGTTCAAAACAAGGCACCGTTGTCTTCAAAAAGAGTGCAAAGAACCATGAAAGTAGTTCATGGATAGCAGCACGTGGTCTATTTTTAGCACAGAATTTTGTTGTCCAGACCTCTTCTTAATATGGAGGGACATAACTATCTTTAAATGTAGAAGAGAATTACAGTTGCAAAATATTTCAAATAATATGAACACTTTTAAAAGAGGAAAGATGTTATAGTGTTGCTTGAAGTAATTTATTTAGTATTATTATCGAACAGTTGTTAAATAGTGTACGTATTGATAAAAAAAAATCTTAAAGTCTTTTGATTCCAGGTAAGGAAAAATAAGCACCATCAAAGTTAAAAATTAAGAGTTTGTAAGTTTGCCATAGATAACTTACTAGTATATCATCTATCAAAATTTTAATTATCACCTATGAAACACAAAAGAAATAAGACACATATAATCGATATGAATGACCTTGTTTTAATACCTACTAGTACGAGGGGTGATCAAAAAGTTCGAACTATCTCTATATCTACAAAACCACAATTCAGATTAGAAACATAGCCAAACACAAGTTCTATAAATAGCATATGCTGAAGTTTTGTTCCTTGTTTGTGATGTCACAGTCTGAAAATGACG